TGCCAGAGCAATTTTAGATTTTTCGAGTTCTTTTTTCAATTGAAAATTCATCTCGTACGGCTGTCTATTCCAAAAATATGCTCGAATGTATAATGATCCGGGTGAGGTTCACAATTTCACAGTTAAAACTTACTTTTCCATCTGTTCTACTATGGTGTTTGCCATGCTTTCTATCCATCCACCACTTTCGCTGAAGGTCTACATAGATTTATTTTTTCTTGAGAAACGTCAAGTGTGCATATCCATATTTTAAGCTTGTACGACTGAAATAACAATCAGACCCAGTCCTTAATTCCAAGACTCAAGTGGCCAAAGATCAACCCATCGATCAGTAAAATAACAAGTATGATGATTTTCGCTGCGATCGTATTCATTTTCTCTTTAGCAGCAACTTCTAACTACGTATGGAAATTACCGAAGTCCACTTTAAATACAGTTAAAGTGGTCTCGAAAGTGTAATAAAATTCTCTCGGCGGATAATTGGCATTACCTGACTGAGAGTTGATGATGGTTATTGCTCGGGTCACATGGAAACAAATAGCCTGTTGTCGGAATGCACTTATATTTAAATTGAAATTTTCATATTATGAAATTATAAAGTAATTTTAGAAATTAGTTGGCTTTCAAACATGTAACTGATTTATGACAATTTTAATGACAAATTTATAATCATTTTATTGTATTATTATTCTTTTGAAAAATATCATTTTATGTCATTATTGTTTACTTCTATGGATGCTTATTCAACCTTCCGAAACTTGATAATTCTTCGTCAATAAAATCGTAAGTCCTGTCGATAAAAATTTGTTGGTCAATATCTGTTTGGGATGCTCGACTGTGCCGTTCTCTTTATTCTCAGGGCCGGGATCGTTGGCGAAGTAAAGGAGATACAAGCGCTCTTGTTTAGCCGATGAATTATAGACTAAACCAGACTCATTGCAGAGAAAATCATCTCATTTGTTCAGCTCGTTCAGCACCTCGGGAGCATCAGAACTTCAACCCAAAAATTCCTTGTCAGCAGTTCATACCAAAGTAAACAAGCACGGAAAATATCCGCCCTGTTACTTAAAAATTCACTACTGAATCGATCAATGTTAGAAATGCATTATTGTCTCTGGAATTGGCTACCCAAACCATTAGAGGCAACGCTTTCATGCCTTATTTAAACAGAAAATATTAACTCCGAAAAATGTTCAAATTCAACCAAATATTCAATAATACGATATCTTAGACACGGTTAGACAGTGTTCATATCTTCGTTAAATTTATTATTATTTTCAGTTTGCTTTCGACGTACAACGACACTCATAAGACATGGGTTTCGTCCTTGGTGATTTCAAATAAGCTGAAATCAACAAAAAGGACGAGTGTGTTTTAGTATCAAAATCATGTTTTTGGATTTTTTAGAGAAGAGCGTTTTGGCAGAGGTTGAGTAGCAGTTATTCTATATTTTGAAAACATGTCTGGAAAGATAGACTAAATGGAAAGGATAAAAATTGGGTTGCAAAAGGAACATCAATTATGACGCGGTTGTCATTGCCTTTCGCAGTGCTGTTACGGAGACAGCCGCGCCTGGAGCAGTGAGCTTGAGCACTTTTGTAATTGCGGCAATGGCCTCGTCAGCCAGGTCCTGTTCATCGGTTGAAGTCTCTTGAAAGCTTTTACCGGACAATCGTAGAATTTGTTGGCGGCTGTTAGGAAGGGTCTTCACTTCATAAGTCAAAGATTTTTCCGAGAATGTGTGTACTCGGTATGATTACGTTAGAGAAAGTTGACGACCCTTTCCTAAGTTTAGGAATAACATCAGCAATGTAATCCAAAAGGCTCTGAATGTTTTCGACACGTTCAGATGCACCAGGTTTAAACGCATCCAAGAAGCTGATGTCGATGCCAAGGTCCTTGAGGGTTTCAAGCTGATCCGCCTTTGGCTCGTGATAAGTCAATTCATCAAGCACTAAATTAACGATAAAGTAAAAGTTTTTATAACCATTCTTATTTGACTCTATCCGTACATTCTTTCTCCGCGTTTTCATTGCCCAAACTTGACTTTGCTAGATAGTCAGTGATCGTGAATTCATCAGCATTAGCGATCTTTTCGAGGTCTTCTCGAAATGGGTCTTTTCGTGTGCCTATCATCATATCCGTCATTTCTTTGTCTAGTGTTGCATTTCGGGAGTCGAAGACCGGTGCAAATGAAGAATACGGTCCGTAACTCATGTAACTTTTCAGGAAGGCTCGGTCTTCAATCGTTCGAGTTTTCTTTGTAAATTCTGCAGCACCATGAACGCGGCCTGTGATATCAGCAAGCGTCATTGGTCGCCCATCCATGTTATATACAGTAGGTTGAGCATCTGCTTGTAGAATGTTGAGTCTTGTTTCGCCAGGCGCAAGTGGAGATCCAACGTTTTGCTCAATCGCCATGGACATTTGAGAGGAGCTAAATTCAAGGCTTGAATCATTAATAAGTTAAAACAAACATACAAATATTCATCCTCTTGTTCATCTTTCGGCGAGATTGGAAGCTCCGTATCGATCTGGTTACCGACGAGAATATCGCGAAGCTGGCGTTTGGGGAGTTCTTCGTCGATTCCTATTTCCTCGCAATAGTCTGAAGAAATTATTTGACTCTCAATCGAGAATATTTTCTTACCAAGAAGATTTCGATAAGCTGTGATCTTGTAGGCAAACTGGTCGAATTTCAGCGCAAACTTGTGACGAATCGTGTTTGATGGAAAGAAGTCTGTCTGACACTTGCAGACCTTCAAGAAATGACTAGATTCTTAATTCGGGAGACCAATTATTACCTTGGAAACTGCCTGACGAAACTGATGAATATTGAAAAAGCACATTTTATTCACTTTATCCGCTACATTTGTCATGTCATAGTGGGCATTGAAAGGGTAGTTTGGATAAAGAAGAGAACATGGTTTCTGATGAAGGAAATTGGTCGGGTCCTAAAACATATAGTTTCCTAGCGAATGCATTTTCTTTATAACCTTGACTTTGAGCTTTGACAAAATATGTAGTAAAATCTCCCGCACTCGTTTTCGCCGATCCATATCGCTAACAAAGTCATCGGTTGGCATCGGCCTTGCCATCTTTTGAAGAGCCACTTTTGACTTGAGCTGTTCAGTCTCCGAGTGATCTCGTTGCATTCTTTTGCTTCTGGCTTTCCGAGACTTTCACTGGCATCGGAAATTCGCCGCTTTGGCTTTCTACCTGGCCTTGATGACGAGCGAGAAGGTGTGTCTCGCCTCGACATTCTAGTAGAAGAAGATATGAAAAGAATGGTAAGGGATAAGAAATTTATTGAAGAAAAAGGAATGATTGCTGGAAGAAAGAAAAGACAGAGTGAATTTTCAAACGTAAAATTTGCGATTCACAAATGGTGAAAAAGAGTTCGACTACTCCTTCATGGCGACTATGGTCTTTTGAAGACTGAGAGCGATTTGATTCGTAATGTGTTTGCTATCGTAGCGAGCATAGTGACTGAGAGCGGGAGTGACTCGAACGAGGTTTTCCCAGGCCTCCCAGTCTGATGAGCGGATGCGATCTTCGCTCTTCATGTGCAGGAGGTTTAGCAAGTGGCTGAAGTAGTTGTTTTAGAGAGAGAACTTGCTGTATTTCTAAGGTAGTTATTAGCCTCTAATAACCGAAAAGAGATTGACTAAGAGTACCAGAGTGCTGTTCTCAAGATGTTAATTTGTAACGACATATCGACTGGCGCTTCTAAGTTCGCTGCGTCCCCTTGGTAGATCGACTCAGCAGGTGTAAACGTTGTAGATTTTTGGCGCTGCTTTGCTCGAATTAATATTGGATTGTACGCAGTTTCGACAGGAGCGAGTTCCACAGTTCTAAGGCGACGATTTCCTGCTGCAAGTGCAGTTGCAAGAGCATCCTTAGAAGTGGTTGAGCTTTTATGTTAATAATTAATAATGATAATCTCAAAAATCTTTATTTGGTCATTTCAAATGAATAAGATAACAAATATTAAAAGAAACCAGGCCTTAGATTTGATAAAATGCGGTGAGAAGAGGGGAATATCTGGCGCATCGGAAATTAGCCACGGGTGTTGCATCACTTCTTCAATATTCATCCTCTTCTCTGGATCGACCACAAGTAGCCTAAATAATAATATGAATAGTTAAAGATGCCAAAAAATCTCTTTAATAAGCTTTCGACAAAAGCCTGAAGTGTTTTCATTGGGAATTCCTAAAGATTCTACGCTTGATATCAAACTTGCCAAAAAAGCGTCTTCTTTAAATATAAAGTGATTGATTTACCCTTTTATAAGATCTTTCGCATTGTCCGAGACCATCTCCCATTCTCTATCTGGGAATTCAAACTCTGCATTTGCAATTCTCTTCTTCATGACTTTATCGATCCCCTTTCTCGCCGCCTGGGCTGGATAGAACGGTGGATAACCCCCGAGCATAATATAAATTATAACACCCAGGGACCAGATATCACAGGACTTGGAGTAGGTATAGGCTTTGTCGCGCTTGTAGCAGGGCTGCCCAATCGGATCGGAATCCGATCGGAAATCCGATCCAATCGGAATCGGATCGGTAATCGGTCGGATCGGATGAGGAAATTTTTTTCATGTCCGATCGGGAAAATCGGATCGGAATTTCCGATCGGAAAATTCGGATCCCCGTCGGATCGAACCACTAAAAAGCTACCAAAAATGACGCCAGGGACTAAATTCACATAGGCCAGGGACATAATTCCATAGGCCAGGGACTTTATTCACATAGGTTTTTTTTTCTAGACTTAATTTTTCTTTATTCTGCTCCAAATTGGTGGAGGTGTGAGTCGAGATATTTCAATTCTCTCTTTTGCACCAAGTTGGGGAGGGTCTGTAGTGTATTAAATAAGCTTTTGGTGTCAACACCATTACTGGCGGTGGAGTGATCAGCTGCTCAAAAATACACTAAAATCATAGGAAAAAATCTTGATGACGTCATTAATCCACCACCAACACTGGTGTTTCCGCCAAACATGTCAAGAGTGTTTGATATTGATGAAAGGAACACCCCTAAGTGATGAAATTGCAGATCTATAGACTGTAAGCATTTTCAATTTTATTTTGTCCCCAACGACCAGTCTGAAATTCCGGATTCATGACGTCATAGGAAGTCAAAATTGATCCACCATTTTGCAGCAGTTTAAAAATACCTGTTTCTACTGTTGCCATGAACACTATTGAAAAAACTGCCACTTTTTGAAAATTGAAAATCTTCCTTGATTTTTCCGATCGGAAAATTTTCCGATCGGACATGTTTCCGATCGGAATTGGAAAATCCGATCGGATGAGGTTCGGATCGGATCGGATCGGAATCGGATCGCCGAGACCAAGATTTTTTGTCCGATTGGGCAGCCCTGCTTGTAGCGTTTCTGGGCTTCGAGAACTTGCGGTGACGCGTAATAAGGGGTGAATTGAGGAGTAGCGAGGTCATTGTTGTCGATCTTCGCGAAGCCAAAATCGCACACTTTTAAAACAGCGTCTTCGGTTTTATCGACGTAGAGAAGGTTTTCTGGCTTGAGATCACGATGCGCGACATTATGGACAACATGAAGATGATAGACAGCTTGTACAATTTGTTTTGTTGCTTTGACTGCTTCTCTTTCCGTAAAATGATGATGATCAGCAATGCGTTGAAAAAGCTCACCACCTTTCATTTTCTCCATAATAAGAATGAGCTTTGCTGTGGCATCAGATTCGCCCGGAAACTAATGTGAATTGTTATTCAGAATCAAGGCAGAGAATGTACTTTTAACTCATTGCAGAATACTTCGTGAAGCTGAACGACGTTTTCGTGGCCCATTACTGTTGAGTGCATTTCTACTTCTGCCCGAGCTCGTGGACGATCCCGAATCACCTAAAAATCATCATTTTCAGAAACCGCTATTCGAAAAGGCTCACTTTGACAGCGTAATCATCACCGGTGGATCTACTCTTCGCACTCCTGACAGACCCGTTCATTCCACAACCAAGTCTCTCTCCCCAATCAACCATGTATTCATCCGAAACCGATTCATTTGAAATAAACATTTTTCCTAAAAGGTGTAATAAAGCCTCTGCATTCACCTTGTTTTTGCTTTTCAAAGATTAGGTCTAGTAGTTTTTGCGGAATACTCAGGAATAACTGCAAATTACAGATAGGTAAGATAGTGTCACTAATAGTTGAACGTAAAGTATCACAATGTTAAAAAACTTGAAGGCTACAAAACATAAATATATTGTTTAATAAGTTGGATCAGTTTTCTCTATAAACATAACATAACGAGTACACAGAGAAGAGGGCGTAAATTTATGTACAGTAAATAAACATTGAAGACAGATTTTGAAGTTGGCTCTTTCAAATATAAAAGTAAGGAAAATGAACTTAAATAAGTAGAGTTAAGAAAAAATTGTCAAGTCTAGTTTTGGTGTTAGTTATAGAGATCGTTGAGGATTTCGGATTGGTATCCATCCTGGGCGCGCTCCTCATCCTTGATATCAACAGTTTTTAGTCGTTTTAATCGTCGCCGCTAGAATTTTGCATAAGTTTTGATGAATTCAAATTAATTCAGTTGAGGCTTTGATTTCGTCTAAGTTTGGGTACCCTTGGAGGACGACGCAATCTTGATGCTGCGGCATTTTCTTTCAGGAGAACTTTGGACTGGATTTTCCGAAGAAGAGACATTTTCATTTCGGGAGAGTGACTCCGATTTGCTAGAAGTTTTTAGTTTATCTTACAAGCCCGATATTTCTTACGATCTGCCATCGATTTGGCTGAGGACATGGCGGAGTAATCTCCAAGATTGTCATCGGACGAGTTCGAAGAATTAATCATGAACGGCCGGTTTCTATTTCGAGATGAGCGCCCTGGGGAATGCAGACTAACAACGTTGAGTGATGGTGGAGGTGTTCTGGGAGAGTCTTCGGAAATATTTCCCGAATCCTTTGCGTGTGAGATATGCGACAGATTGAGTGGCTTCAGCGAACTTGAATAATAAGATTTATTTTTAAATATTTAAAAGGAATTTACGTTCGTCCATTTTTATTTTGCATGAGAGAATGAGCTGGCATGGATCCTCTTCTACTTGGCGAAGATGATTGAGGTCGAGGATCATTTGTCCACATGAGTGCTTGAAGATCACAACAACTTCTGGTCCGATTGATAACAGGAGCGTCAGATGTATCGGAAGCAGCATCAGTAACAGGCCGCACTGTATCTTCTATGATATCTTCCATGCTTTCTGACTCGCGAAGTGTTGATTCGCGGAACCGTAGATCTTCCAAATGACAAGACATTTCCGAGTCTCTTCTATTGCGACTCCCGTAGCTTGCGATTCTTTTTCTTTGGTGAGGTTTATTGATGGATATTCCAGAGGTACGTCGCAGAGCTCCGCACTCCCAGGATTATTGGACAAAGCAAGCACAAGATCACGGACTTTGCCAACTTCTTCAGAAAGTTCTTCTTATACTTGGTTTTACATAAGATGCTTATGAACCATAAGTAATGATTATTCGATTTAATATTTTCATATTAAAAACCAGTCCTATAGTCACTCTTAGTTGGCTGTCTCTTATTTCAACATCATCCAAATGCGATGAAATTTTTCTAAGCTTCTCCGCGTTCGTCTTTACTTGTTCCTCGAATCGCTTATTATCCTCACGTCTCTTCATCCGTTCGTAGTCATCGATAAGCTCTTCTTCCCAATCATGAAGATTTTCTTCTTCAAAATCTGCCAGAAAGAGTTTGAGCCCTCGATCAGCTTCGAATTTTCCTTTTGTTTTTGAGCAAAATATCTTGTCGATGAGCATTTTCAAATGGCTTATGAAAATAAAGGGTGGTGGGAAAATTGGATGCGCCTCGTACTGCATGATGACTTCGTATCGCTGGCAGGCCCATATTTGATGCGATTCCACTTTTACACGTGCGAAAGTGTTGTTGAATACAGCGATGAGTAGATTTATCAGCAAGATATTCGCAACGAGGAGATACAGTGTATTGAAAACAGGAACAACCCAAGCACCTGGGTTTACACCTGGGATGAGATCGCCGGAATCGTCATAGTAAGGATCGATTTCGGGGGCATAAACCTCGCCATACAACATAAAATATGGCTTGTGAAAAACTCCCCAAATAGTTTGCCAGGTTAGCGATTCACTTCTGTCGTGAATAATCGATTGTCTTGAAAGTCCAAAAGAGATCAAAACGACTGCAAGGATTGTTATAAAAGAGCTCATGTCAATGAGCATCTTTCCAGCCATGGTAATGTAAGGACCAATAGTTTTATGAACTGATAAGAATTTGAGAATGCGAATCCACCAAAGAACAACTGATGTGACACAGAGAACGCGGCCATATGCAAGTTCTTCGTATGCTTTGCGAAGTTCATCAGATGAGTTCTTGCTAACCGCCCGCTCGTAGAATTCTCCACAGGATGTTTCATTTCCGCCAAGCGTTTCTTTATCCGTAAACACTTGTAGACGAAGTCCAAAGCCAAATAGAAAAGTGATTATTGCGAAGGTTTCAAGTAAATTCCAAAATTTTGAATGCCAGTGCCGAAATTTTGACCAAACTCCACGCGAAGTCGAAATTGATATTGAACGGATGTTTTCAATTGCAAAAGTGACAACATAAGATACCACAAACCATTCAACATCAGGAATAGTCCATGGGCACATTCTGACCAGAACTGTATAACTGATCGAAAGAATGAACACAACGTACATAATAATATTGAACCAATATTTCGTTATTGGTGCGTTGAAGTACTCGTAGATCTTTCGCGTGAGTCCAAGATCGTTTGATCCTGGCGTTTCTGGCGTCAGGACCATTTTTGACGTGAAGATTGGCTCAGGAGGATGCTCTTGCGTAGCCGACGGCTCCAAAAGAAAATGAACCTTTTGATCTGCGTCTTTTGTCGATTGAGTACCATTTGATCCTCGAATACACCCTCGGCTAAATTGGTCACGTCTGGCACCAGCACTCGTCACCAAAGAGCTTTTTTCTTCTGAAGCGATGTTACGTGAGCCGAATCGCTTTTCTTCATCTGAACTATTGAAACAATTTAAGAATATTTGGCTATATGAAATGGTACCTAGATGTGGACGAAGTGGATGACGTGGTCGAGGTTTCATTGTGTCTGGTTGAAAAGCCATGATCATCTTCGCACTCGTCTAGATATTCCTGAAGAGTCTTTGGGATTTCTCTCAGCTGCTCGGACGTTTTGAACTTGATGAATTGTATGACATTACGAAATGAAGGAAATGGATGAAGAATGGTTGTGAAGAGCGGCCATAGGGTAACCAGAGATATTGGAACCTTTATATTGGAATTTCTTCTTATATCCAGCGCTCCCATCCATAAATCAGTGATGATGTTCTGTACACAAGGATGCGCAATCAGGTCGCGATGCTGCGCGAGAACTGCTAAAGAAAGGCAAGTGTGACGAGACCAGGATTTTAACTCGTATGTCAGAAGTTGATAACACATCTTGTCGCTGTCTTTGTACCCAAGTTTAAGAATGTCAAGGGCCTTTTGTTTGAACTGATCCGAGTATAGTCTCATTGTTTCAATTTCTTCTTGATTCAGATCATCGTCGTCAGCTTCTTGTGCCATCCGTCTGTATAGTTTCATAGCTATGAGAGCTTTGGCCATGGCTTCTTCGCCCTTTTGCCACATGAAGATTGCCATTTCTTGTCGCTTCATAAGCACTGCCCAGATGAGAAGCTCATGAAAAGGGTTCTTGAAGTTTTCATTGTTAGAAGTCTGAGACTCTGTTTGCTTGTAATATAAATGGAACTTCTTTCGTGTGTAGTTTGACCGGTATGTTCCGCCCATAAGCCCTTCAATGACCAGACCGATTTGAATGAGATTAATTCTTCTTGCGCCCTTTGGCACTCTCTTCTCTCGCGAAACATCGTCAAGTAAATATTTCAAATGCTGTGGAAGGTAATCAGGTTTATCCGCATTGTAAAGATCCTCTAGACGCTTTATTGTGAGAAACTTGTGCATAGACACACCATGGTCCATGAAAAGCTTCACAAATTCCACTTTATCATTAACAAGTGCTTCCTCCAGCCGCTTTCTCAGTGAGCCAACTGGGAAATTTTTCGCGTACGGAAATGCGAAGACATGACTTCGCGCTATGTCAGGTCGATCCCAAGACATAGCCATTTTCAGCCAGTTATCGGGGTCCGTCTTCTTTTTCTCTGCGCTAGTTGAAAATAACGATGTGAGAATCGCGTAGTCCAAGTTTCGGGTCGCTACGTTGTCAGTTCCATGCAAATCCATCCAAAAAATTTTGATGAGGCGCTTGAAAGACATCATCCTAGTCAAATTCAAAATCGTTCCCCTGTTGAACTGATCCGCATTCTTGTGCGAAGTGAGAAGTTCTTCCATTTGAGCGCGATTCTCCTTTGATATATCGCCCTTGCTATCTGACAAGTGATACGCATACGCAATCAGATCAGCAGCGTTGCGTATAGATTCATTCTTCTGTGCGGGAACACATACTACGACTGGAATTCCTTCCATCACTTTCTTCAATACTGTTTCTAAAGTTGTCCGGTCGCCCTCAATGATCAAACAAACCATCGGGACGTTATGTTTCTTCACAAGCTCTTTTTCGATCGCTCGGCGAAAGCGTATCTCCGTCCTCCATTTTCCCACTGAGCCATTATCAACCATGAGAAAGTGAGTGTGCGCGGCGTTGAGAACTGCTCCCTTAGAAAGCGGGTCGGCCATGGTTTGATAAGGGACCGCCCCGGTCTTGAGTTTATCGTCGTTTTGTAAATCGTCGCGATTGTCTACTACTCCCCATGGCATTACTCCAATGGCCGAAACTCGACCACGAGCGTAGAGTTGATGCTCGGTCAGCGCTTGACCTACAAGTTCGCCGATTCCACCTTCGCTTGACAGCCCAATCGACATGATCCAAGCGTCTGTCGTTCGCGTCGCCTTGATCAACCCAGATATCAATAGCTGCCGCTGGCCTGCTGTCAGATCCAACCGCTTTTCAGAGCCATGAACAGTGATGACGAGTTTTGGCAGCTCCATTTGCCACTCTTTTGTTAACAAACGATGAACATTCGCTCCGCTAGTGCTATCCGACAGTCTTATAAATTGCGCCTTGTCTCCTTCTCCTGTTCCTTGGAATTCCAGAGTGCCAACGGCATTTGTTCGGAATTCTTTCGTATTCATCCGTACACTCCACTCGGCTTGCTCCTCTGATTTCCAGTGGAGCGACACAAAAGCAGATTGATCTCCCTGCAAATCTTTGTAAATATTGGTACTAACAGTGTCATTTTAGTTACCTGTATATGATATTTATGCGCGCGACCGCAACTACAACGATGGATGTCTCCGGAAGGTGAGGGAACAAATTTAACACACTCTCTCTGCTTGAAAACGTTATAGACCCAGTCACTCGCTGCGGGAGCGCGGTGAGAGCGATTTCGATTGTGCCGCCGATTACTCCTGGGAGAGAAACTGTGAGGTTATTGACGTAAAGGAAGAATTTAAAATGTAAGCTAAATGTCTGATAGACAGACGGACGAAGAGATATTAGTGGGTTTCCAGACAAGTTCAATCATTTTTAAAGAACTTTCGGAAAGGAGTCTATCTAATGATGATTCAATGATGCAACTTTTTTGGGAGGTTTCATCTTTGATTGAATTTAAATTTATTAATTTTTAATTATTTTAGTGCTAACTGTATAACGAAGTGCTCTCAGAAAGGGTTAGCTCTAATACCACAGATTGAACTTACGCCATATATTCCGAAAAAGCAAGGATCTCGATATGGTAGAATAACGTCTTGGATAAAGTAATGTTTTAGACAGTTTAACGCTCTAGCAGTTACCTGAAGGGAGTGCTTTCCCCAAAAGAGTAATCCATGGCGAGTTACGTCCAACTGAACTCGGCTACAGACGGACGCCGTATTTGCTGCGATAATTTTTAATATTCTAGAGACAGTGGTGAGCAAGGAGCTTTCCTAGCCTAGGAAAGAGTAGTCGGGAAATTCTCCTGACGTCTGCGATTCAGAAGGTTTCTCTGCCTCCGAGGCGGAAGCTGATTCCCACGTAGCGAGGATCCAAATGGACTGCAACTGGCAGCTTGTGCATAATAAGCCAGCCGAGTGAGCTGAATTTCTCCGCTTTTTAGTCACTGAAAAGTATAATATTAAATACCTGACTTTGTTGGCGATCGTTAGACCGGGAATTGACAAGGTTCTCTGCATACAGGTACGATCAGCCAACAAAATCACCTTCTAAAGAATTCAGTCTTTTGCGCTCTAGTAATTTTACATGAATTTGAATTTGAAATGAATTGGTTGTACCATATTTGTAATATCAATAATAATGTAAGAGCATTATGGTGAGATATGTGAAAGACTCTCTGGTAATTATTTATGAATATGGGTTAGATTTCGTCGTAGCACGAATTGATGACTTCATCGTAATCGGAAGGTGAGGAGGATTCGGCCGCTGCAGGTTGCTCGTCGTCGATGATGATCCAAGAGTTGGAAGGTGAGGAAGACTTGGGAGTAGACAGTGAGGAAGTTGAAAGTGCGGAAGTTATAATTGGGATCGTGAATTGTGCTGAACAGGTATTTTTAGGATAACGAACTGTTTTTGATTAACTTTACTCACATTGGCTTGAAGTGGAACTTTCTGTTGAGTTTTCTTCGTCAACCTTAAAACAGGCTTTGTTTATTGCTTCGGCAATCTCTTGTGCGTTTATTTCTCTCTGGTTAATATCTGTCGTCGATTTTCCAATAATCGGTAATTGTTTCTCTGCGTCTTGGGAAACAGGGCTCTCGTGCGGAGGAATGCAGGGAATATCGTTTTTCTCTTTCTTTTTCTTCTTGATTTGCGGTTTTATTTTACGTTCGATGATAAGTGTGTCTGTGTCTAGCGGGGTGGGACTGGGAGTGTTCAACTTTGAACGCTCTTTTTCGCCCTCATTGATTTGCCCCGCTTTCTCGTCTTTTTCGGTGCTCTCATTGATGAAAATCTCATCGTCGAAAATCTCTCGTCGTATCTCGCGCGATAAGCTCTCTGTCACTTGCTACAAGGAAATTCTTTAGAGGATTGCAACCAGTAGCTTCCGCTGCTCGTTAACTTCGAAATTAATAAAAAATGACGTCGCAAAGTTTACAGAAGAAAGTTCAAAGAGCAACTGATCTGAGTCAGAAATCTGGAATGATCCTTTTACCTTGACTTTATTGAACACAGGCTGTTTCGATTTGGAAACCTGTCTCTTGATCTGCGAGAAAAAGCCGCGCGCAGCACTGAAAGCTTTATCCAAATCGACCGTTTCTGATTCTTCGATTCTGGGCTTGGGTTCCGGTCGATGGACAGATTTCCGAGCGGCGATTGATTTCATCGCCTTTCCACCAGAAATAACGATAAATTCGGAGCCACCGTAGCCGCTCACGTTCTGGACTGACCCTGAGATACTGTAGAGTACTGGTGAATGGTCTGATTCAAGAATGTTTACAGCGCAAAGGGATGATTTCGTGTGGGATAGAATACGTGTAGAAAGATAGAGGAGATTGCCTGGTCGAAATCCAGACTAAAACACTCATATTTTAGACCGATTATCAGTGATTGATGATCGAGAATAGTACCAATGAGAGCTTAATGTTGAACATAATAAATATTCAAAATTCTCGCATCTCAGACTGCTTTTATATAAATCGATATACTCCGGAGTCCGGTCGCAACTGGTTCGGTAACCGTAAAATCACCTGATAACCCATTGTTGTTTCCCAGAGTGCGTCGCCTTCTTGGTTTATCATTCTGATACAACCGCTTGTGTCGGTGAAAATGACATTAGCGCTGCGATCGAAACAGGCTCCGGTGATTGTGGCGGAGAATTGAGGCACTTCGGCGATGATTTCAACAGGCTCATTTCTTTTTGAGAGGAGAATAGATTCTCAATTCAACTTTACTAACAGTTGCTTCTTAATTACTTACCATTTGTACAGATAAGAATATCATAAGACAGGTTCATCTCCAATTGAACAACATGAGATTTGACATGGGAAAGTTTTCGACTCCGAAATCCAGCGGAAGTCAATTCTCCATAGTAAATCACCTGCGCCGAGCACCAGGTAAAGCAACTCTTCTGAATCGAAATACAATCGGCAACAGTTTTTAGCGGAGTCGTTTTCGGAGCTCTGAAAATAGATGAGAATTGATCGTTTTCAATTTTAAAATTCAAAAATGCAAACTAACCGAAGCAACGACCCAAGCTCCGGCAACTGGGTTAAATAAAGCCCGTTCTTCGTTGAAAGCAATAGGTTTGTCTCAAGTCCAGCTTGGGAAGCATCTATTTTCAAAATTGGCGAATTAAATTTGAGGCGTTTTGTGGAAGGCGCCCCGCTAGCAAGACATTCGCCCAGGCCATCCTCTTCGACAAAAAGCAAATCTCCGAGACTAGTGCCGTAGAACGTCTTTCCTTTGTATTGTTTGCAGCAAATCAGCGTCCCGTTAGGGAGCCCGGGCACGATTGTCAGCGACATCCCATTCTTGAAAGGTTGAAAATAAGCTTCAGTAATGTCGGTAATACATGTTGTTAAATTAAATCCAGGAAAATTAACGTTTGTGCAAATTTATGAACTTATCGGAAGGCGCGACTAGAATCGACCATTGTCGATGCGAATTCTTCTGCGTTTTCTTGATAATAAAATCTTGCTTGAGCATTTCTTCGCTCCAGTATTTAATGATCTTCTCAGCTGGCTCCTTGTCAATCTCACTTTGCGGCGTTTCCTCAATCAATCTTCTTTCTACGTGTGGAGGAGTCCTAAAAAATCTCTGCCTAGCGTTTAAATGGACTAAAACGTACCCATAAGGGACGATAAGTTCTATTTTGACGGTCATCTCAGCCTGGGGCGGGAAAGGGCGGCCCGACGCTATTCGGTTCTCGTATTGTTGAACGACTTGGCGGACGCAGCGAGCCAGAAACTGATCATCCTCGTGAGCTCTTAACTCAATTTAAATCAAATCAATTCAAAAGGGACTTTATGACCACTTCTCCAGTGGAGAAATAAAGTTTGCCCTAGTTCCTTATTTACGAGTCGCAAATTCCTGACACGCCTATTTTCAGACAATCAAGTAAATACGCAATTTAATTATCGACTGACTATTTTCAGTTATAAATTTTACCTGACAGAAGCAGCGGCATAATTAGGAGCCTTCTTCTTCTCCATTTCCTCTCTCCTCTTCTCCGCCTTTTCAATCTTTTGCCCTTTGTCCGTGATCAACTCGATTCTCCCTTCGCGATTTGTATGGGTGGAGATTCTCCCGTAGTCACCTCTCTTGATTGCCTTCGCCAGATCTTCAGATTTCTTGTATTCCTTCATCATGTGTCGTTCTTCTTGCTTGTGGCTCATGATGTGGTGGCGCTTTCCTTCTCGCATGGCGATTTTCGAACGACGGGATTTTTTCAGAAAACATTGCGTTACGGAAAGATTTCTTACTGTATTTGGTTTTCAGTTATTTCAAGTACAAAAATAGATTATTTAGCAAAAACCAGTAGCTGAATAAAAATTGATCTGCGCCAATCTCACCAAAGAGCTCATCCTTTTCTCTTCGCAAGTTGGAGATTTCGTCCTTTTTGAATTTCTTTCCCGCTGGCTTTCTCAAGCGCGTCATATGATTGGCGCGGAGAATCTCCAGAGCGCTGTTCTCCTTGAATTCAGACGTTGACAAGACGCTTCGCAAGGTTAAATTTTATGGTTCCAGATTTGAAAACTGTCTGTTATCTTTGTTTATGCAGGACGTCAAAATCACAGCTATGTGATAATTATCAATAAGATTTCTTGTGTTCCAGTGAAAACATTTCATGTTTAAAATAGACAAGTTTATCCAGTAACTTTCTAGAATACAGCGATTATGTCTGAATACATACCTGTTTTTAGCTACGGCGGCCGGCACCCGGGTGGCCCGTTGGTTAGCGCCCAACGCTGCGACTCGCCGAAGCGCGAGTTCGACTCACGCCTCTGTCAGGTCTCCCTGACTCTCGACTCGAGACGATTGGGTTGCCCCACGTCACTGAACGGGGAAACCCGGCTACTCAAAAAACTCGCTCCTGTAGAGTGGAGTTTCTCGGAGCTAAGTCCCCGAGTTTTTTTGTCTATCACCGCTGCTGATTTCATAAAATACCTACATAATATTTGCATGCGTTATTTACGTATATTTATCGTTTATATGATATAAATTGTATCGTCGATAGTGGCAAACAATCAGAAGCTCATTGTTTAAAGAATGGAACGCGCGTGATTGGCGTTTCCTTGCCAGTGTGTGCCCAAAAGGAAAGAATAAAAGTACGCCGAGAAAAAAGCTCAAACCGAGACAGTGGATAAGCGGTTTGATCGGGTTCGATTTTTTTATCCCTTACAGATGGAGCTTTACACAGTGCACCAGACACGGTTTTCAACCAACACGCCATTTTTCCTTCCTGTACTTTTTGTGAAGAGAAATTGGCAAAGCCATGGATAGGTAGTGATCCCGGTGAACTTTGGAGCTTTTTCTTACATAAATAATTCTAGACCAACGACCGGGCAGTCTCGATTTTCGGGGCTGACGCTAGACACTCAGTTCAGTCGGCAGACATCGCTGGCACCAAAAGAGCTCGAGGGAATCTTTACTTTTGAAGGAGTCTCGCACGACTTACTGCTCTCAAATGGGAAGCTTTATTGGGAGCCAATTACGGTTGATATTCCAGGAGTGGAGGCACCGATGGGAGAAAAGTACTGCGTTGAAATTGAGAAATTCGTGATTGGAGTGCGCTTCAGAAAAATCAAAACTGTAATTCGAGGACAAGCGCGGTCGATTGTAACAGGAAGGGCTTTCATAAACTACTGGTTGAAATGCAATAGAGTCGAAAAAAGCCAGATTAGGATTCAACTTGAGAGTAATTGCGGACGATGAAGAGTTCGACTTCACCTTTAACAACGATACAGAAGAACTTGTTCGAACCTGGGCAAGCGCTATCCTCAAAATCATACGGAAACGCCCTTTTATTTCTAAAAACCATGCAAAAGTTTTTATCGAAAAATCCGACGCAAAAGATCTTCCAACTATTCTCAACTATTTTCATTCCGCTGGCTTGAAATACACGATCTGCAAACTTGCTGACTTCAAATTTATACTTCCCTCGGAAACAGCCATCTTGATCGGGACGGATAAATTTTTGCAGTTTGCCTTTGACTACAGGTATGAATAGAAGTTATAAATAAAACGACAGTAACATCCTTTACAGCTTCCCAGATGCAAAAGTAGCATTTGTCCCGACGAATCGCTCGAAATTGAAGTCCCTTCTCTACGATCACCTTCCTATTCAAGATGTTCCAAAGAAGCTTCTATTTTCGAATCTCAAAACTCTTGGCGTTGCATCAGCAGAAATCGCAATCGGAAATTTGATTTCAAAGAAGACATTTTTTCACTTCGCCGCCACACCTGTTTCTCTTTTTGAAACGAAGTTTTTACTGACTGGAATGTACATAAATGGTAAAAGAACTCATAGCTTTCGTAAACCTTAACGAATTTAGATGGAGATGAGCACAGTGTCCGCGTTTCTGTCAATGATTTGTCTGTTTCCACTTCTTCTGTCGGTTATTCAATCTGTTTTCATTCATCAAAAAATGCCCTTGCCGACTTTTTCAGCACGACCTGGAATATGGCCGTTGGAGCTAGTTTGACAAGAGAACTCACAATTGACTGTACTGAATTTGACCTTACTCTCTGTCAAATCAATGGAACTTACAGTTGGTCGTTTGGAGGGATCAATTTGGACGAGAATGTGTCAAGAATTCGAATAAAAAGCGATCGATCTGTTGATATCTTTTACTGAAAATAAAATTTTCTTTCAATTCTTGTTGTTTATCTCTAGAACTAACTGTGATATGATGATGTTTTCATTCTTATGGGTTCAGTTTGAAATCGAGAGGTTTGGGTGAAAATGAGGGCGTCGACTGTTGAAATTGCCGATCTCCAAGAAATCATCAATCTTATCGATGGAAAAACTCGAGGAGTCTATTCCCACAAAAGATGTCAGAGTAAGTAGTTGTTTATTTTTACTAGCAATTAGTCTAACAAGGACCTAACATGATCTTCTAGTCAGAAGACTTGTCGAAACAACCCAGCTTTCTTTGAAAGTAATTGAAGATAACAACGACAAAATAATTGGATTCGCTGCTTTCGACCTCCAGGCAGATTTTGAATCGAAAAAGATTGCCAGTGATCTTTACAATCCGCAAAGTGTTCTTGAGCTGATGCTATTCATGGCGGAAGAAGATCATGAGAATGTCGACGGAATTGTATCTTGTATTTTGTCCGCTGTTTTCAAAAGGAAGGAGTTTGTTTGATTAGCTAACTTACCTTGGTTGAATGCTTGATTCACCAAAAAAACTCCTGGAAGATGCCCTTTTATCCACCATGTGATCGTGACGAAAAACGACTCGCGACTATCATCTGTATCTTCTAAAATCCCCAACTCGCCCTACTCAATCATCAACCGCGAAGACTTCGTCCCCACACTCTTTATTCGCCCTGGAAAAGAAGAAGACAACGATGATGTCGCTGCCGTGTACAAGAATAACGACCAGCTCAAGATGATCTACGGCGACTTTTTCTACACTGAAATGGTTGAATCAGTTGATGAGAGACACAAGGTGCTTGTTGCTGATGTAAATGATATCGCAGTTGGTGCGATTGCAATTTCATCGAAGATTTCCCTTGATCAATTACAATGTACGCATCACATCGGTGGATTCAAGTAAGTTTTTTCGTAAAGATTTATTCTCCAATTTTAAATGAAAGGAAACTGGTCAGAATATAAAAAAGGGGCGGTGATCACTTATTGTAGGAAAAGAGGTGCGAGATCGAGCGTCGCTCTTTTTCTTCTTTTCGAATCGTTCTTTCGCTTCCTGTCGCTCAATTTCAGCCTGCTCCTCAGCGTTGATGTTGATATTGCCCATACAGTCGCTGAGAGTCATGATGTTGGAGTACTCCTCTGTATCGGGAAGACGAACTTCTCTCACCATTCCCGAAGTGGTGCCTGGATTTATGTATTCAGGGTCGTTCTCGGTCGCATTGACCTTGCTGATTGATGGCTTCGCCGGCTGTCGCATAAGACCAGCGGGTTGAGCCGAATGAATTGCATTCTTCAGCTGCCCGGCTTCTTCAAGCACATCCTTGATGACCAGGTCTTCGGGCTTTGGTCGGAAGGGCTTGTCTTTGAGAGAGTGAGCAAACTCAGCGAAAGCCTGAAGATGCTTCGCTTCTTTTTCGCTTTTGGCAAAGACACTCGGAATGTCATCCTTCAAAATTTGAGTGAGAAAGAGTTACTTTTGAAAGTTTCTTACCGAGTCAGAAGTCGAAAAGATCGGCTCAGAGTCGGAGTCCGAACTCTCAGAAGATGAATCTTCCGCGATAACGGGTGGCTCTCGATACATAACTTCTGTCTTCGTTGGCTGCGGGATAGGAAGGTTTTCTTTCTCGTCCTCAATTTCCATCGCAACAGGAGTTTTCGGTTTGAGTTTTTCCATGGCAATTGGGGACGGTCGAGTTGGCGTCTTGAGAACAGCCTTCTCCACCGTGATTGGAGTTTTGATCGCGTTTGGGGTCTTTACTTGCTGTGTTTCCAGTAGATCAGGTGATTTGCTAGCGGATCTCTCCTGCAAAGTGATCGGTGTTTTGACCTCAGCTGGAGTTTGCTTTTCCGCATGTTCTTCAAAAACCGGCGGAGCAATAGTTTTCTTGACCGTTCTTCGTATTGGTGTCTCTTTGAGTGTTTCAGTGACCTGTCCTTCTTCTTTGATAGAATCCTATTAGAAAATTTTCGAGAAAAACCAAAAAAAAAAAGTTTTTACCTTGAGCTTCGTTTGTCGACGAGGGGTTCTTTTGGGAGTACTCAGGGCTTCGGTAGCTTTTAAAGCAGCAGCGCGGGTGCTTCGTCGGCGCTCGGTCATTACGATTTTCTAAATTCTATCAGATTTTACTTCCATTTCGAAACTCAAATTATTACCCGCGAACGATATGTTTCTCTGGGGGATACTACGTATAAATCAAAATCTCTAGGAAGAGTAGAAAATAAACTCCGTCTAGAAATATTCGGTGATTTTCACTGGCCGGATTCCAATCTGGAGATTCAATTTTATAGGAACTCCAGGGGCGCCAAATCAAATTCGAACCATTTTCGTCCTTTGAGCACATTTGGCCGGCTCGAGCTGATATGAATCCGTAAAATCAGACCGCAATCAACCTATTTTAGTGGCCTCACGAATTACAATGCAATTGCCGTTCAACTCTTTGCGATTGCAGACAAATATGAAGATCGCTCCGTTGACCTTCTCAAGGGAGCTTTTGAGGCTTTCCCGGGAGCGAACTGGGCGATTTTGACCGTTCCTCGACAAGTTCAGCATTTTCGACTTCTTGATTATTTCCAAAGGTACTCATTTCACATCGGACCAAATCTCAATCACTTATTTCAGAGCGACTCCACGAAGTTCATTCACAACAACTGAGGTCTACATTGTCCATCGTGCAGTAATCCACGAGATCGCTTCCGTGCGACAGGCGGCCGAAACTGACTTTGAAGCAATCGAGAGCCTTGCTCCAGAATTTTACAAGAACATGAAAATGTCTTTGATAAATGGACAAGGCCTCAACCCAACTCCATCGATTGGCACGCCCGAACTTCTATCGACGTCATATTTGATGTTCGCCGGCGAGCACGCCGTTGGCGGTGTCATCATCGCCGCCGAGGATAAAATCGACGCTCTCAGAGCGAACTTCGAGATTGAAGATTTCGTAAACTTGGACTTGATCGAACGAAGAGAGAATCACAAAGTCCTGTACTGCTTCGTCGCTCCTGGTTTTCATTCTCTTGGAAAATTCATGCTCTCAGAAGCGATGCGACTTTCAGGAGCGATATGTTTGTACCAGCCCGTTGTTGGCCGCGATTATCCAAAGAAAGAGTTTCGAAAAATTCTCATTAATTATTTCGACCCGACTCATACTGAGTTTTATTTTGAAAAACTCACTAAAAGTCACCAGCAACCCGTCAGATGCGAACAGTACCGAAAAGAGAAAAGATCCACTTCAATGTTGAGCGATTGGAAGAAAATGCTCCCTGCCCCGATGCCCTCCTTGATTGTGATTTTGGACTTTTGATTCTGCCCAAGAAGCTGATTCAAACAGATGTCAGAATTTGTTCACATTCGATAGTCATCGTTGGCGCTTCCGATACCGGCATAGCGGCGATTGAAGAATTAGGCACGGTTTGAAATTTTCCGGGTAAAAAAAACTGGGTTGTTTCTTTCAATTTTTAACCAAACAAAAAAGCAATGAACAAAGGTCTTATTTTCAATAATTTGACGCTCGTCTCGTCCGTATTCGAAGATGATCACGAAGTCACGCTTGGCCATAAAAATGTAAAGGTCGAAGAAAGACAGATTAACAACTTCGGCAGGAAGAAATACGGACTGAACATATGCCTGAACCGAGTCCGTGCTACTCTGGCTGGAATAAATACTAACGATCGAAAAATTATCCTCAGAGATGGATCCGAGTTGCCTTATGATTTACTTGTCCTCGCGACTGGCAAGCAATACAGTGGACTTGTCGACAATCCGATTCGTGGTGTAGAAGGTCTAGCATTTAGCGAGATCGTCAACGACATCAGCGAAGGAGACGGCATTTTCGTCAGAAGTAACAATATCAATGCTTTAGGATTTATTCAGCAGCTTTTGGAACGTAAAATTCAGCCCAATCAGGTAATCAGTAGCGAGTTTCACTTTCCTAATCATTCTTTAGATAACGCTTGCATGTGAAACCGACTTGGAAGAAATTTTCGACCTCGGTGATATCAACAAGGAGCGCAAACTCACGAATGGACCAGAATTGGACAAGGTCGCTGCTCGAGTTCGAAACGAGATGGAAGAACTTGGAGTCAATTTGATTGAGAATGTCAAAGAATACGAAATCCTCAAGAATGATGGGAAGAACATTTCATCCGTCTGCGTTGGCGATACCGAATATGAATGCAAGCATTTGGTCGATATGCTCGAGAAGTCAGTCTCGAAGACTGTTTTCAGCGCGCTCAACGATGCCTGTCTAGTCTACGATGGCGCCCTTGTCATAGACAGTACTTTCTGCACATCGAATGAAAATATTATGGCCGCTGGACCAATGACCAAATATCAACGAAGACTTTACGCAGATGATTGGGTTCACGAGAAATTCAATTCAGCCGAAGTTGGCAAGGCCGCTGCTGCGCTCATTTTGGATCGTGTTCTCGGGCGTATTCCTAAGCCTGATGTATCTGTTCCAGTTTTCAAGGCGCCAGTTGTCACTTCTTGCAAACTTGTTGGCGGAAGACATTATCTAAGGTAACAGAAAGATCCTTCATGTCTGGGGTGCGAAACGGGGCAAGGAGTATCGGTGCCCCGTCCCGCTTAATTTTTCGGACTCGGTGCCCCGTCCCGTCCCGTTTTGCCCCGTTTGCCCCGTTTATTTTTCACTCGAGTTTTCTGCGAATTTTTGCCTAAATTTCAATTTCAAGCCCATTATTATTCACTAAAGTAAAACTAAAAGTAAAATAATTAAGGTCAAGCTTCTTGGCTAGAGATAATTCCCATTTACGAAGCTTCTTGACAGGGTCTCTAGAATTAGGTCGATATTTGAGTCGAAGGAAAAACAAAAATTTCTCGAAATTTCTCGAAGAAAGTTGTTTTTCTGTAAACAAATTTCAAAAGATGGGCATCTAGAGACGTTTTTACGGCCAATTAGCAAAAATGGGACACAACATTCCAAAAACGGGACAGAACGGGGCAACGCATGCTGGTGCCCCGTCCCGTCCCAGTCCCGAAACGGAGCAAAACGGGGCACGGGACGGGGCAGTTGTCCCGTTGCCCCGGTCCCGTTTCGCACCCCAGCTTCATGTTTACTATGCATTTTTAGTTGCAAAGCGACATATTTTGATCGACTTGCTGATGGAATGAAACAAGGACAAGCTCGTTGGATGGTCACTTCAAATGACGAATGCGACTCAAGAATTCATTTGAGTAAGTTTTTCTGTCATTTGATTATTTTAAATTGCTATTCAAGATCCATTTGGCGTCGTCGATGGAATGATCTTTGTCTCTCGAGAGCCTCTCAATGTCGAGAATGTCATCAGAATTTTCGGGCTCCACGAAAAGTACCTCAAGGATCTTGTTTCTCGATTTGACGAAGAGCTCATTCCTTGCCTCTATGAACACATTACCAGTCCCTTCTTCGATGTTATTTCGCACGATAGATTCAAGGACTTGGTCCAGCAGCTTGAAGATCTTATCCCACTAGGTAAATAATCTTATTCTCTGCCAAATAAAAACGGTCTAGATAATGCCGACATCAAGCCAGGAACTTCGAAAGAGCTCACAGAAAAGTACTCGGGAGATATCGACCGGACTATTTTGAAATTTATCAAGGACAATCAACAGCTTCTGCCTATGTATCATCTTCCTTGAGATATCTTCATTTGTATTCTGCTCTTATCTATTCTAACTATTTTTATATTCAATAAAGATTTTTATTTTCGTAATCATAGTGATAATTTTGTTGGAAGCAGAGTGATGTTAGGGTTAAGTTTTTAGCCGAGATTATATTCAGAACTAAGCAAGGAACTAAGTCGGAAAATAAGAATTTTCAGCATTAATTATTCCTTATCTTCGAAATCAAGTGTCCTTCCAAGGTTTCGCATGCTATCCTCAACTCTATGCATGTCATCGGGCCCTTCGTAGGAATCAACAATTTTATTGACTTCTAGGCATAAGTCTACGATGTTCTCGTCGTCACGGTTGAGGGCCATTTGCTTCGTCACCATAGACTGCATTTTACGGAGAATTTTTTCAAAATATCGAATATCATCATTTCTTCGACGTTCCTGGTCTTCTTTCTCATCTCTAGCTTGCTTGTACTCTTGGAAGTACTCGTCCTTTTCTTTCAAAGTTTTATTTTTTTCTTCGATGAGCTTATCCTTTTCCCGTTCGATCTTCTCCTTCTCAGCCATAAATTCCTCAGTCATTCTTCTGTTTTCTGCGTCCTTTTGTTCATTCTGAAAATTACTTGAATATTCAATGATAAACCTTTTTAACCAATTCTTTGTAATCCGATAGAACTTGAATAAGGCTTTCAACTTTTTTGTGATGTTGTTCATCCTTCACGCTGGCCTTTTTTGCGGCATCTTCTAGCTCCCGTCGCTTTCTCTCAAGTTCCAACATCTACGGTATGTTTCGGTAAAAACGAACATATTTCTGAAATAATTACCTTCTTCTGGTGTTCTTTTCTTCGGATTTCTTCTTCTTCGCGCATTTGATCAATGAGTTCCCTTTCGCGTTCAGCGTTCTTTTCAGCTTTTGCGTTTTCGATTTCTTTCCTTTTGTTGTCTCTACTAATCCCTTCTGCAATAGCACCCAAGAGCGCGATTCCCGCGGTAACAGCTAAAAAGTTTCATTTTTTATCTCTATCAATTTTTTACCCGTAGCAAAAATTTTACTATTCATATGGAAAAAGCAAAAACGCTGTCTTCATAGCAGCTCCCGTTTCATCTCTTCTTGTTAAATAAATTTCATTCAATGTAACGAAGACAATATTTGGAAAATGAATGTGAGTTACTTTCTCTCAGCGTTAGTTTTTATCCCATTGCAAAGGGCGTTTCGGGGTCAACGGTTGGGGTCGCTGAGTAACTTTCTTTCATTATCATTATTCAGGTTTATCATTATTAGGTTTGTTGCTAAATAACTACCGTAACTTACGGCCCGTACAATATGTCTCCGATAAATGTATTGAGCATGGGTTATCTAATTGTCAGCGTTCCATCAGAATGACAAGGCCTACGATCCAATATCTTATTAAGATTAAATATACATCCTGAGATGATCTTATCGTTCTCTGTGAATTTTTAGAGAACCACAAGATATATGAAAGAAAAGCATGAATTTATTAGCTTTTTATATTTTCTCTTCTATAATAGTGATGATATTCATTGCATTTTGCTCCATGGTTAGAAAATATGGTCGATGCCTGAGATAATTGCTTTTAGATAATCTATTTCGAAGAAAATGGACAACACAAAATCAACGAAGATCAAGAGGAACACATATCGAAGTAAGAGTTTTTCAGGAAAGGCTTGTCTAAAGAAAAGTTTCATTGAGATGACGGAGGAAGAGTACCATCGTCAGTTGGAGTCAAAAGACCGCGTCTTTTTCATTTCTTTTCCAATGCTTCTTTTGGTAATCCAGGTTTTGATGAAGATATTTTTATGATATCAAGATATTCATTAGATTATCATCGGCCTTCGACAATTCGTAAACCCTGATGATTTGATGGCCAAAAGAACAACAGAAGAGAAAGAAGAAGAAAAGAGCTCGAATTTAGCTTATACCCTCTTAGAGAAGATAGAAGAAAGTCTCATTTAGAGTTGACTGAATTCTGAATTCTGTGAGAAAATATATTTCTTTCACGCGGTGATTAGCTCAGTGATTTGAACTGGCAAATATTGAATTAATTCTTTGATAAAGTTTGCACTTTTGCATCTGCCTGAGCTAATAAAGCATGAGCATTTTGCACTTTTTTCTTCTATCAATAATGACTGCGATTATAGAATTGGTCGATTCCAGGGGCAGGCGAGAGGATCGAGATTTTGAGTTTTGATTTAACAATTTTTCACTCCGTCGCGCCCTCTTAGTATCCCGCTTAGACTTGAATTAACTTAGAAAAAAAGCGACCGAAGAATTTCAACTAATTAATTAAAAAAAACTGGACCCGTTACCAGGCTACGTTTTTACAAGAAAGAGAGAGAAAGAAAAAGCAAGAAACCGAAAGAAAAGAGAAGAAGTCCCGCTATTATTAATTCTTCATTTAATCGACTTTCACAATTTATGAAGAATAATCACTCGCAAAGAAGAAAAAGCAGACGAAAGTTTTTCTAATAAAAATGATGAAAACGACACTGCGAACTGTTTTTGTTCTGATTCTGCTTGTTGGAAATGCAATTGGAAGAAAAGTTGGAGATCGCCGCCAAAAGTGCACGAAGCTTGGGAGAGAGTATAAGTGCTCAGCTAGGCACCAGCTGGGCTCGACTTGTTTTCATAAAACATGCAAAAGGAAAGTGGATTCAAAAGTTCAAACAGTTCATCTGAGAAATCGTGAGAATGGATTAGTGGATAATGCGGTTTCAAATCCGAGTTGAGCTTTTTTTGGCTCGCAATTTTTCTTTCTTTCAATAATATAAAATCCATCATAAGTCGAATTCTTCGTTGCTCAAGAAAAGACAATTCCAATCGACCTATTTGGATTGGCTACGAAGGAAACTGCAAGGGTAAGTAATAAATACTTTTTTATTCAGTAATAAAATTCACACTTTTGGATCATAGTCTGGATTAATTGATTAATTTCGGAAGCTAAATGATATTCAAATACCCCAAGTGTGTCAAATGGTGGACTCTAGCAAAGCTGTATGACGTAAAATTCATAAATTCAACGATTTTATATCATAATCGAAGAGCTTGATATTAACGACTCGTGAAATAACGTGAGGGACAAAATAACTTTCTTTGATAAAGCAAAAATTGGTATTATCAAAAATTATGTAATGTTTCAAAAAGAATAACTTCTACGTTGACGCCGAATGAATTGTAGTTGATTTGCTGCGCCCTTTTGTGGGAGCTACAAATCTCGGATTGTCCGTGACGTCAAGCTCCACCGCCCGGGTTGGCGACATTTTCAAAAAACCTTTTGTCGAAGTGACGTTGAATTCCATTTTCGGGATCGATGACTTATCAAGTGTCAATAGATCTTCATTAGAGCGCATTCATTTTTGAATAACATACGTATTCAGGAAAGGGTTTCATGAACAACGAGTGGTCAAAAACAACGAGTAAAAAGTCCAACGAATACCAAAACATCACCTCTTGGAATTGCCTTGGAGGATCTTCAACGCCCGTAACCGACGTTGCCCAGTTTGTCTTTCGCCGTAAACTCTACATCATCGCTTCGTCAAACGAAGCTTTTCACCTGTATGAAATCGGAAAGACTTTCCATCCAGAGTACATTCAAAAAGTTCCGGTCAACGGACAAAGTCTGGAAAAACTAGCGATGCTCAGTGTTGCCAAGAAAAGACTGATGCTTGCAGCTGGGAAGAATATGACAACGCTAATGTACCAGTAAGGAGCTTTTATCCTTTCTCCTTTCATAATTCCTTTAGCTTCCCAAATAAAGAAATGAAGAGAAGCGCGTCTGGTAAACTCTACTATAAATTTGGCTTCGAAAAACAATCCCGAGCCACAGGCTGACGTCGCGATCTACTGCAAAGTACGCGTCTGATGAGCGCTTTGGTACCTATCGCTGCGAGACCAGACAAGCAAAATCTGGCAGGGTCTACTTCGTACTCGATAAGAGAATCCATTCGAGGTTTCGCAAGCATTTTTCCTCGAAGAACTGGAAGGAAATTCGATCGAAACGAGACGCTGTTGATGGCAGATGCGATATTTCGTCCGGAAAGGTAAGTTTCCATAAATAGTTAAAAATAAACTTAAAGCGACTTAACTTAAACTGTAAAATTTCTTCAGAATATGGACGTTTTCTTCGCTGTCAACAACGAGGAACCTACCCGCGGCTATTACTCGTACATCGACGTGGTTGAAATAAAGGATGCAAACCGCGCTAGCACCGCACAGCGAATACCTCACGAGTATCGCATCACAGCCACAGCAGGTTGCCCATTTATCACAAGATAGCCAACGCAAACGAACTATTTTTAGCTTTTCAACAAGGAAAACGAGCCTCGCTTTATGTGACTGGGGATCAGCGCGGGAGATGCACGATATTCAGGAAGAAATTTTTGAAGACATAGATGACTTTTTCTCCTTCACTTTCAAAACATTTCACTGCCAAAGTCAAAAGTTCAGATAATAAAATTAAAGGGACATAAAGTCAGTTTTTCATCACTGAGTTGATTTTTTTACATAAATAATTTTATTCTTGCACAGAATAATTAACACTAATCATTTGAAAATGATGTTGACAGTATCGTACAAACATCATCAGATGAATTTTATAGGGCAACATCTAGTAGAAATTATGACTAATCATGAACTGTAATTACAGTACTTGAGAACTGCTACGATCAAAGTTTGCGTGGGCAATGAAAGTTTTCGGTCGTGTAAATTTGAAGTCATTTAGGAAGAAAGTGATTTTATTCCTTCTTTCCAGCAGGCTTGGCATCTTTGTAAATAACAAGTTGCAAGCATAAGAGGAATGACATGAAAGTGGAGGCAGAAAAGTTCATTATCATCACCATATCGCCAGTTTCCTGGAAGGAGGTGAAAACTCTAGCGAGGCCTCCAGCAAAGAGCATGCCACAAGTAACTCCGGAAAGGGTTCCGCAGTGGCCATTTTTGAAATTTGTAACGACCTAAAATCGATTAGAAATCAATTTTCTAGAATGTTTATTCACCTGGATAAGTCTGGAGATAACTGTAACTGGAAGATTGCAAAGCTGAAGAACCTGAAGCTGCTCGACAGTGACCATGCCAGAAATAAGTACGTAAACAAAGCCAGCGTAAGCAAGATTGAGCATGAGCCCAAGACCTCTTCGTCCAGTGTAGTCACAGATAAGGAACGCAATGATCATCGTTTGAACGGCCATGAAGAAAGACTCACCCCATGATGAAAAAGGGAAGCCAGAGGCAAGTCCGTAACCGATGAGGGTAGCACTAGAAAGGGTTAGAATTTGAAGAGAGACACTCGCTTTACCATGGGAAGAGTTCCAACAAAACAGAGAAAAGAGAGAGGCCAGCTGCAGATTTAGCTCCGATGATGCTCAGAATTTGTGGGACCTTATTTTTGCGTAAGCTCGAAGAGAAGAATTCTTGACGCTACCTTGACGAGAATGCTTCCAGCAATGATAGCAAGTCCTAGTCCTTTAGCCAGAGTTGCTTTGAAGCAATCTTGGTCGAGGATGTCAAACTCATCGAGATATTTAACAGTACATTCTTCGGTAAGAAGGTTGATTCCAGTAGGACCTACAATTTGTTTCAAAAGATCCATTTCGCTCTAAAAATAGTCTTGATTGAATTTTATTCAGAAAATGACCGAATATCAATATTTGTCGGTGAACAGGGCAGAAAATGATGAAAAAGAGAAGATGTTTGTTTTAAATAAGACCGTCTGTAACAGAATTTGACTTCAATTTAACGCCAGCGATGGTCTTCGAGCCAAAGCCAGATGTTTTTGGAGTGCGTGGAGTAATTGAGCCCGCTCTTCTTGAACCTGGAGTTTGAGAACCTGAACGGCGCGAAGAAGGAGTCAAAGAGGCCCGAAGACTGGAGCTGGCCTCGGCATTCTGTCCTGTCTGGAAACCTGTTACAGGTCCTGTTTCCTGTTTATGAGTGGTCTGTCCTGTAACCTGTATAAAATTTTGATCAAAAATTTACTCTGTTTACAGGTCTGTAAACAGGTCTGTTTAAATGTAACAGGTCTGTTTATAAATGCAGAGATTGTCCCTGTTTACAGACTTTGTCAGAAACAGGGCTGCGAAAAAATACAGTTCTGAAGAATAATACAGACCGAACAGGGAAAAAGTCTGGATTTTTCTTCGAATCTGGGTTATTCAAATAATAACTTAAGAAAATAATTTAAACATCTGCTGTTTTTTTCAGGACAATATTTTTTGACAGACCTGTTCCTGTATACAGTCATACAGACCTGTCCAGGGCAGAATTTTTTTACAGACCTGTTTCTGTATACAGTCGTACAGACCTGTCCTGTTCTGTTTCCTGTGTGAAAATCTAGCAAAAAAATTTTTTAACCTGTTTCTGTCCTGTTCTGTTTGACAGGATGCCGAGGCCAGGACTGGAGTTGCCGATTCCGAGCTTGTTTGTATGCTTGCTCAACAGACGCTGAAATATTTTCAAAATTTAAGAGAAAAGCGAAAGTCATACATTGAGAGCAGGCGATCGCATTTCTGGGGTCTTGCCCATCGATTTCCCGAGTCTGTGGGGAGTCGTTCCGAAGGCAGATTTTTTAGCGCCAGATAGGGTTCTTTCTTTTGCATTTCTCTTTGCGCTGAAGGCGGTTTCGGTCAATCTATGGGCAGGGTGGCTATTTTGGACAAAATTTTGGGGTCTGGCCATCCAATTTCCATCCAATAAATTTTGAGTCGTAACTATCCATCCAAAATCCAACCCAATCCAATTATTACCCAATTCCCCAAAAATCCCCAATTCCAATTAGATCCAATTGGATTTCCAATTTTTCCAAGGCTTTTAGTGCTTTGAAAAGAACGGAAACAGTAATTTTTTATCCGAAAAGAGGATCAACATAGCCAAAACAATGATTTTTTATCCGAAATTGTTCATTTTTATCATGAAAATGAGCCTGCTTTGCATAGTTTAGCGAGATATTTTTTATTGGGTCCAATTCCCCAATTTCCCCCCAATTGCCCAATTTTCCCCAACAAAATCCGGTACCCTGGCCATCCAAATTCCATCCAAACCTTATTGGATTGGATCCAATCCAAGTCCAACTAACCCCCAAATCCAAATTAGCCACCCTGTCTATGGGCCAGCTCTTCTCGCTCATTCACTAAAATAAAGATAAGGGGGAGCAACTTAAGTATTTGCATGAGAATTTTCAAGTATAATTATTGATTTACTTGAGTCCATGCGGAAAGAAGGTGCATTTGATGCGATGGTACTGACGCCTGGAGCTTTTGAATCTGACGTTGAAGCACCTCCTGGCGTCATAGCTCTCTGAGGAGTAGCTTCAAGTTGACCCCAAGTCATGAACGGCGAGTCTTCCACGCCGGGCATTGACTTGGCGTGGCCAAAAGACTGAATTGCAATTTTAATAGTCGCGGATACATTTATTACAAACCCATAACGACCAGGTGTAATTGGTTTTCCGTCAATGCCGACTTTTCCATCATCTTTAAGCGTATTTTTGATTCTATTGTGAACAAGAGTAGCAACACGATCAGGAGCAACAGGACGGAGGAAAGGGTCTTTCTTGAATCTTGTATTTTCGTGGACGATTTCTCGGGGCTGAGGAGGTTTCTTGAAGATGTATTCTTTCTGTGCCTCGAGTTCAGCGCCGTAGAAAAGAGAATTCTTGTTAGTGTACTTCCAGTTCCCAACGCCAGCTTTCTTCTGCTTCCCAGGTTCACGGGCGTCTTCAATCGCGAGAATCTTTTCGGGCGCTAAAAATAATCATTTAAGACTTTTAGCATAGACAGAAAGACGTACCCATAAGTTTATTGGCATCCTTGTCTTCACACATCATGTCTCCTTGCTCCTGCGCAGCATATAAAAACGCATATTGCTCTTTTTTCTTGTCTTCTGTGAATTTGTGAACTTTTTGAAATGAGTCGTTGTCTTCAGATGTGAACTTGGTGCAGTATCTGTCGAGGGAGATGTTTTCTGTTCGCGATTTTTTCTTAGTTGGAGCTTTTTCTTTCTCTTGCTCCTCGTCTGAGTCATTTTCGTCGTCTTTTTCGCGATCAGGCGAGCGATCATCTGGTGCCGGAGTACCCTAAACACGGTAAGTTCCTGATTGACTTTCTCGGAGAGCGTCACCTCAAGAAAAGGAGTTCCACCGACAGTCCAAGCGCCAGTAGTCGGCCTTTCCGCCTGTCGCTTCTTATGCTTCATTTGAATTTCGCGCATCGCTTCCACATCGCCCTCCTCTTCAGCTATCAGATAATCGTGCTGGTCTTTTACGTGATCGTAATGGGGGAAGAAATCTCTTGTAATCAGCTTGTCCATGTCGGACAAGTACTCTTCTTCTTTCAAAATCTCACGAGGCTTCTTCGTCAAAATGAGTTTATGCGTCTTTGCGATCGCTAGCTGCCTCTTTCTTTCCGCCTTTGTCAGAGCAGTAGAAGCGCTGGACATCATCGAGTCGGGCATCGATTCAATATCCAAATCCCGCGCTTCTCTTTTCGCTGACTTACCGATTTCCCGCAGCTCTTCCAGCCGCTTGAAGTCGGATTCGGAGAAGTCCGAAGTCGTACTTGACCTGCGACTAGAGCCGCGATCGGACCTCACACTCTGCGACATGACTTTCCTTTTTCCCGATTATGCCGATTGCAGCTGCCAAATGCAAGAATCTGAAAGACGAGCTTTTTTATGAATATGAAGATTTATATTTTTGTTGGAAATATTTTGCAGATTTCGAATAGTTTTTTGTCAAATAAGTTAAGTTGAACATCAAAGGATTCTTTGTTTTGTATTTATTTTGCGGGCTTTCGGAGTCGCTTGTTCCAGGCGAAGTTATCGCCATATTCTCGGAATTCTAGCTTTTTCTTTCTTGGCTCGACGACTTGATCGATCTGAAAAGCAGTTAGAAAGAGCCAAAAACTGAAAGAATGGGGTTTCATACCTCCCAGCCTTGTCGGTGAGCAAAGTCGATAGCGGCTTCCTTAGTTTTGAAATGCATCCAGCCGTGGACGTTGGAAAGAGGATCGGCGGTAGAGCCCCAGCCCATCGTTGGATTTTCCCTGAAGAATTTAAATGGTGGAATAGAGAGCTTTCCGTTACCATCTTTCCTGGGTATCGAATTCAATTTGCCAGTACTGAGCATTTTTATCGGCAGATTGCATGACGTTTCGAGTGGTTTGGGAAATGGTGACAAGTCGGCCTTCAGTTTCTTCAGTGATTCCAGAGACGGCCTGAAGATTTTTAGAATTTAAGGAAGTGAGGGGATAAACAGACCTTGGCAGCGGCGTGGTGGGTGATGAGGGCATCTTCTGGGTAAGCAAGAGTCTTCGATTTCTTGGTTCCCTTGATGAAGTCGTCCTTTGCTCGAGTGAGAGAAGCTTGGGTGAGAGTTTTCTGGTTGTTAGTCAACACTTTTCTAGGGAGCAAATGATCAGGATACAGAAAGAGAAACGATTTAATTTACGTGTTCGTTGGTGTGTTGTGGCCCCACATGGACTTGATACCACGGGTAGATGTTTGAACAATCCTCCTTTGCATGTTCTAAAATACAGGTAGTGAAGATGGGACGTTTTCATTTTAAGGTATATTTATGTTTGTGGTCGGGTGTGGACCGCGTTAATTTTTAAAGCTGACGGTGATGATATTTTTGAAAGAGCATTTTATTGGCACAGAAAATTTGGAATATTATCGAACATTACTGCTCGGAATTCTTGGAGTACTGATTTGCTTTTCTTGAGATCTTCATTTTGTAGAAACCATCAAGGAGTGAAGAGTTCCAGATTATCCTCTTTGCAAGAAAGCTTCGCCTCGAAATCCTTTCATTTTGCCTCAATTGGTCATAGTCAGAGCGCGCCACTGATTGGCTCTCACGAATTCTCACTACTATCGCTATTTTCACGAATTTTCGATAATCCTTGAAGAATTCAGAGAGTATCACTGCGAAAATACACTGTGGATTAACGCATTTGCCGATGTCCATATACGAATTTTACGAATAATAATTTATATTCATTTTAGACGGTTTAAAAAAGATTTCACTCAAAAATGTCTGCTGAATTGGCGTGCACTTATGCTGCTCTCATCCTCAACGACGACGGAGTCGACATTTCTGGCGACAAGATCGCTTCCCTCCTCAAGGTTCGTTCAACCACCCTCCAATCCATAGCGAAGCCTTGATTCTAGGCCGCCAACGTCGATGTTGAGCCATTCTGGCCCGGACTTTTCGCCGGTGCCCTCAAGAACTGTGACGTCTCCGAGTTGATCTCCAACATCAGCTCTGGTGTTGGTGCCGGTCCCGCCGTTGCTGGTGGAGCCGCTGCCGCCGGTGGTGCTGCCGAAGAGGCCAAGGAAGAAGCAAAGAAAGAGTCCTCCTCCGAGTCCGAAGAAGATATGGGCTTCGATATCTTCGGATAATCTGATCACAACCCCTTTCTGTGTCATTTTATGCCGATTAGTAGCCACGCTAGTAGGCAGATAATAAAATAGATAAAAAAAAATAAATAAAGTCGGATCCTTGCATCCTTGATTTTAAAAATTCTCTCATAATTTAGGATCAAAAAGAACCTAAATCATGGTTTGTCCTTCTTTCCTCATATTTTCTCAGAACAAGAGAATTGTCCTTCTTTCCTCATATTTTCTCAGAACAAGAGCTTAGAATGTAAAGATGGTCAAGAAATTGGACACGAAAACTGGGGCGATATTTCTTGGTACGAGCCTAGTACTAATTTTTTACAAGCAAATTGGTTACGCACTCAGGCTTTTCGTCGACTACGGCCCTTATGCAATCCTCGGTCTATTTATTTTATCAGTTCTTTCCCACATGAAACCTAGAAATTAAAAATATTTTTCCGTACGCCTTCCGGGACGCCGTAAGGCCGATTTTACTATTTTAAACTTAAACCATTTGTTTTTTCTAGAACAACTTCTCTTCTTCGTGTTTATTTCCCGTTTTTACTCAGTTCCCGATTCTCAGTTTTACTCTTTTCTGGTATTTTGCACAAATGTTTCCAACTCCAGCAAGTTTGTAAAAGGTCCGATAATTAAGAAATCGGATGAGTGGGCACCTAGACGTCGACGATGTGGTGCCCATTTCAGGCCGTAGAAGCTCCACATGTCTTCGCAGGATCGGATTTTAATTTACCTATTGATAAACTTGTTAGCGATAGGCATGTTTTGGCTTTAAACATTTTCTTTCATAGACAGTTTTTTTTTTAAGGGGGCCACTCGAACTTTTCAAAAAAAAGGTACTTCCCGGAATCGAATAGGGCTGAATAAGGTCTCGTTGGAAAGACCGCCCCGGAAACTGTACACAAAAATTATAAAAAGAAAATTTTAGCAAGAACTTTAGCCGTAATTCAACTGTAAAAATGCATTAAATTCCATTGTTTTCGGAAATGGCGCGCGCTGATTGGCTGAGGCGCGGTATTGTTCGAATGGAGCGCCACCATAAATGGACTTACCGACGGAAAAATCGATATTCTAGCGCTTGTGGTGGTTATATTTTTCTTGTCATAATTTTTGTGTATAGTTTAGCAAATTCTGCATTTAATGAGATCTCAACCGACTCCGTACCATGACGGGAAGTACTTTTTTTTTGAAAAGTTTGAGTGGCCCCCTTAAAAAAAAAACTGTCATAGAAGTTCCTTTCTGAATAATATAAATCCACTGTAAAGGCCATCGAGAAATACAGACGCAAAATCAGAGGAACAGGATGAAAGCCCTAACAGGAGGTCAACAGTGCATCGCCCGACGCTGAGAGAGAGTCTCGGACCGTCGCCTGCTCTTCAAAGAAGGCGGATGACAATCATGGCGCCGAACAGAAACAGCTTTGGCAACAGAATGAGCCACGGCAGATCCGGGTAAAACTAAAATTACGAAATGGTAATAATTTCCACATTCAGAAACGCTCCAATAATCAACCTGGTGCGCACGGAGTCGAACGGAGACCCACCCCTCGATCCTCACAAAGAAGAAACCGAGGACGAACGAGCCGAGAGTGAATCAGAAGAGAGCGATTTTGGCGCCAACGACATGGACAAAATCTTCTCGATCCAATTTATGGTGTCATTTGACGACGTCTTCTCAGAATTCGCGTTGAAGCATTCGACGATTTCGTCGATCGACGCGATGAAAAAAGAAATTGAGGATAAATTCGAGAACAAGAAGGCAACCTATTCGGACGTTGTGCTTCAAATTGATCCGGAAATCCTGGCGAAAAAGAAAGAAATGCTCAGGCTGAGAAGAAAACAGTTAATTAAAGATGTGTGGGAAAAGCAACATCCCTTCCGTGCTCGATTCGCGAGGCTACGCGAAGAAGCAATGGACAAGTGGCGAGACGAGGCGCAAAGAGCGATCGATGAAGTGAACCCACGAAAAGCGCTGCAGAAGATTCAAAAATACCTCAACTACGATCCGACGGACTCGAGCATGGTTATCATGAAGTCAATGGCTTTTCAACTGCTCAAGGACAATAGAGTCTCCTCAATTGCGATTAACAGGGCAAATGAGCTTGGAGTGACGGAGGAGCAGGAGAAAGCACTCACTTTGAGCTTGGCTGAGGTAAATTAACGACGACATTTTTTATGAGTTTATTTAATTTTACTGATAATTCAAAGTGTCACTGACAGTATTTTTAGTAACTCAATACAGCATTGAAAAACTAAATAATCTCGTTTTCATTTTTAAAATTACTAAATAAGTAAAAATATCTTACTTTGATAAATTTTGATCAATAATTTAGACAGTCATCTTTCATTTTAGTGTGAATTCAAACAAGCAGAAAAGTACGTTGAAGAAGGAAACTACCAACAAGCGATTCGCCATTACAGAAAAGTGCACGAAATTATTCCTGACTTCGAAGATTGCATGACCTGTATCGTCTATCTCGAACTTGATCGTGGAAATTCATCGGCAGCAATGGATCTTCTTCTTCAACAAATTCAGCGACATGTAAGTCTGGTTAGAATCGCTGCCAATCGGCTTTTGTCAATCTGCCCAATTCTTTCTGGCCGTTTGCGGCGAACCAGAGGAGAATTCCAGACTGAAAATAGCTATTTTTCTACTAAACGATGTTAAAACTTACGATGCAAAGGGCATCCACTAGAAACAGAAAAGCATTCCCGCCGAATGCGACCAGAAACTCGAAGCTCTTCACAATAGCGAACATCACGGACTCTCTCTTGATTCCATTTATCGCTGAAAACCCGCAAAAGAGTAGGAAGACGGAAAAAATCAACCGAGGCTCACTTTTTGCCATCGTGCACTTTTGGAAAATCAATTTTTCTCTTCGGTTGCGAATTTTTTTCTTCGAACAAAAAAGTGTGAAAAACTGTTGCCGCCAGCGCGCAGCTGGAGACCTGCGCCAGGCGCCATACGGACCAGTTTCTAGGTGACCTGGTTTATGATGGTGTAATTAACACTTCTTCACAAATAATGAAACCCATAAATCTGATCGTTGGGAAAATCTAATTTTGTCCTTTTCAGCCGGATCGTATGGACCTTCGAATCCTGCGCACTCGTCAGTATCTTCTCACGAATCGCCTTGTTCTCTGCCACGAGCATTTGGACGCGCTTCTCTCTACCATTCCAGATCATCCCGAAGTCATAAAAATGCACGAAGAATTAGAAAACCGCGGCAGCAAGGCTGAAAACAACTGTATCATATATTTCGCAGCCGGTCACCTAAAAGACGCCCTGGTCTACATTGGCGAGGCGATTGCTGCTCGACCCAAGCTTCTCAGACTTTACCTCTTACGAGCCAAGATCTACCGTCGATTATCATGTTGGACGCGTTCGCTGGAGGACTTGGAGCTTATCTACAAGGCGGAAGCCGTGAGTTTGAAACCAGAAGCCGACAGTTTGATCTTTTGCATTTTGAACGACGCGGGAGTTTCTTGTTGCGCGGCGGGAAATTACGACCAAGCAGTTAGACTCTTCACCGCTGTTCTTAGATATATCAAAGGCGAAAGAAGAGTTTGGGTGAATCGGGCTGATTGCTGGTTCAGACTTGGAGAGCCAATGCTAGCGATTCAAGATTATTCCGAAGCACTGAATTTGGCAGAAGACGAACCCGTTTGCAGAATCATCCGTGGGCGCATTTCAGTCGTTTACTACGAACTTGGCACCGAGCTCTTCCATCAAAACAATCACGCGGAAGCAGATCATCATTATTCCCTCGCCATCGAGTATCACATCCATATCATGTATTTAATCCAGCGATCCAAAGCAAGAATCCTCATCGGCAACGAAAAAGGCGCCAAGCTCGATGCAATAGCAGCCTATAAGATTGACCCTTACAACCGCGAGCTGATTCCACTCCTGGCGCGGCTTTTCCCTACCACAGGACTACCAGAGGTCGAGGATCATCTGATGCGACACTTTCCGCCGAGAGAAACGCCCTTGCGAGCGATAAAAACGCACAAGAAAACGAGTCAAGAGAAAATCTCCGTCGGTGACTTCCGAAAACGTATCGTCTCGTCGACAGTCAAACCGTTGCCGCCTATAAGATCACAATTATCAGTTACGAAAGAGCTCGTCAAAGTCGCCGACGAAAGAAAAATTCACATAAAACTATAGTCTGTACATCCACATTTATCTCATTTTCTGATATTTTTTATAGATAATACATTTATTTTTGTAAAGCATGATGTTCATTTTGTGTTCTTTGAAGAATGGCAAAGGAAGTGATTGATAAGGACCTGCTTGAGTTGAGGGCGCAGTATATGGACTCTGGTAGAAGTAGAAGGAGTTGTACGATAGTCAAGCAGGAGAAGGAAGTAGAAAAGACGAAGAATGTCCAGACAAAGAAGGTTCGTCGTAGATCTAAAGAGTTTAGTTGAAAGAGATAGAAAATAAGAGTTTCTCAGATTACAAGTATTTTTAGAAAGTAACGAACAAACCAGCTTCGAATTCGAACTCAAAGCGGCCAACAAAAGCAAGAAAAATAAAAACAGCTAAAAAATCCCTTCGAGTTCCAGCAAAAACCAAACCTAAAGTTCCAGCCAAGAAATCTCCCAAAGTTCCCGACAAAAAGCTAAGAACTGTTACAGTAGCTAAGAACAGTCCAAAAAAGAAAGCGCCGCAAAGAGGCAAAACACAAACCGGAAAAGAAGCAGGAAAGAAAGATGAAGCACAGAAAATCTCGAACGTTGTTTACAAGGATGCCACGGGGCTCACTTCCGATGAAGAATCAGAATTTTCGTCAGAATCTGAGGGAGAATGGGATGAAAGAAAGACTGATTCTAAGGGAAATAAGCGTGAAGACTCTCGTGCCAATCTTCCGGGAATCTCGAGGTATTTTGAGCAGTAGTATTTGAAAAAAAAATCTCTTGTTTTCAAGCTCGAGCGAAAGTGATTCCGAGATCGATGCTGAAATTCCATCAACCGACGAGGAAGCACCTGGCCCATCTGGCCTCGGCAAATCAATACAGCGCCCCACGCAGCGTAAAAATAGAGTTGTCCGAAAACGACCGGCGATACAGAATCGCTACATCGTTCCCAAGAGAATACTCGTTGACAGAGAGCTTGGCCCATTGGCCACTTTTGGAACAGATTCAGAGCAAGCGAACATGAATTTCAGCGAGACTCTTGGAAACCCTGAATTAGGTGAAACAAGCTGGACAGAGGCGGAATTGTCTACTTTAACTGATATTCTGGACTCCATGAGAGCAAAGGCAGATCATATAGGAAAGGTTTTTTTTTATTTATTTCTCCTCCGAGTGAAATTTATCTTGTTTCACGGAAAAACCGCGACAAGGAATATATGGTCTTAGCGAGCGCCAAACAATGAAGATCCAGCGACAGCTCACAACCAAATCCGGCAGACAAATCAAAGCAGCAGTTAGTTCAACTTTGATGCAGATAAAAGAGAATGAAAAAATAACGGACCCAGAAAAGCACTCGGCTTCGTTCTTGTGGAACGAACTATTCAAGAGCATATTTGGCCACGATGCAGAAATGAAGGCGATAGTAGAAAAGCATCATGATGCGTTCGAGAGTTTCTTTTCTGACAAGGCAGAAGAGGTGGAATTCGAGGATGGACGAAATCGAGAGGTTAAACTCGCTCGAGAGGAGAGAGAAATTGCTGGTGTTCCAAAGCAAGCTGAAGTGGATATTCCTGAGATATACAGATATTTGGGGGCACTCTCTAGTCGCAAAAATAAGACATTGCCACGACTGAATATTGCGACAAGGTCTCCTTTCTTAGTAAAATACTTTGATAATCCATTCTAGTGCTCTTCTTGTTGAGTTACTCGACGAAATCGAAAGAGAAGCAGACGATGTCGTCTCGCCGAATCTTCAGGACGAATTGAACAAACGATACGCCGCAACGCTTACAAACCGGCGTTATGTTCCTTTCTTGGATAGTCAAAGAAAAGGTAAGCCATCAATCAATTGCGTCAATTACCGTAAATCCCTGACTTACAGTATTTACACAGCTCTCTGTGTATTGGCGCTGACTTTTGTCTTCCATGATTTCAATCCAGTGTTTTCGCACGTTTTTGGGATAAGACCTTTTGTTTCGATTGATGATCATTTGGAAAACGTACAAACGTCGATTAAATTATATGTTTAGTTTTCCAGCGAACAAACAAAGAGTTTGATGAGTTCAATCCGCTTGCATTGAGTCTTGAAAAGTGGAGTGAAAGGCTCGAAGGAGATGGCAGCACCGAAATGGTCGATACTTTTTCGATGGAATTTGAAAGTCCTCATGCTGAGACTGGCTGATCTCACATTCCAAAATAAAATTCAAAAAAGAAACAATTCTGTGGTTTACCGTTCATTGTTTTTATGTTTGACGGTCAAACTTTGACCAGCGTTTTGAAGAAAAACAAATTCAGAATGGATGAAAGAATAATCAGAAAGGAGGTAATAAACGCCTCTTTGGACGTCCATCCAACTCAGACCGCTCTTGTGATAGACTACGACGAAGGGAGTGGTTCTTAAAATTTATTTCGTGCTTAGTGAACAATATCCGTATCCGATAAATCCCCATCAAAGAATTTATGCACTTTATCAAGCTATTTCTCTCACTGAACCTCGATCCTAAGTAAATATCCTCTTGTCGTCAAACGGGCGTGAGTTTCCCACTGAGCCTCGTCAGTGCACCAAGGTGATTCGCTTGGAAGGCCTTGCCAAGGACACCGATGTGCGACAATTGGCAGAGGATATCGTTACCAAATGTCCTCTTGTTAGCCCTACCAGACTTCCTGAAATCGAACAGCTGCTGTATTACCTTCAAACAAGGCCAGTTACATCATCAAATAGTCCGAGCAATACGAAGTCCTTATCTGAATCTCCTGATGCAGAAGAAGCGAATATTTACGATCTTGACAATTACATCGATTTACTGTACGAAGAGATAGAAGATAAAGAGCGCGGAGCCAAGCTGATTCTGCAACTTACAAGAAATCCTGAATTTCTCGAAGAAGTGTTGACGAAAGAAACGGTCTTGACCGCTTTGGCGCGAGTTCTAAGAGAAGATTGGAATAAATCAATGCAACTTAGCTCAGATTCGGGATGACAGTTAGTTTGCGTTAAAACGAACCTAAACGGTGCTTTAGTGTAGGTTTTCTCAGAGGTTTTACTGTCACAGATTTTTAATTTGATGCGATTCTCTTCAGATTACCGCTTCGATTATTTATAGAGACTACAGAGGTGAAAGTGTTTTAATTCTTTGATCGCAGTCTCGACTTCAAAATCCCAACCGTAATCCGGTCTCTTGTCATATATGTCACCCAAAAAGCCGCTCATTCCGAATTCAGACATTCTCTACATTTTCTTTTGCTTCTCCAACTTCAGTCAATTTCATCAAGTCGTTGCTCATTTCAAAATCGGGGCTCTTTGTATGACAATTATAGAAGAAGAACTCAAACGAGCGAAAAAATGGAAATCCGAACTTGACACAACGAAGAAGTCCCGCGACGCCGATGACTTCAGGAAGCTACAAAAAAGATACCGAACTTTAATAAGAAAGCAAGATGGATTACTACGGATTGGGCTGTACTTGCTCTTGAATTTATCAGAAAACCCAGATGTCCAATTCAAAATGCGGATAAAGGGCATCATCAAAACGCTTGTGGAAGTGATCATCACCCGGCAAGCCGAGCCAGTCTTGATCTTGGCTCTTTCGATGCTACAAAGAATGAGCGTTTTCAAGGAAAACAAGGACGAAATGAAGAAACAAAAAGTAGCGGGAGCCGTTTTGCCGATTGTCAGTGATCCGAAAGCGAATGACACGCTTAACCTAACACTCAGACTATTGATGAATCTATCGTTTGATAAGGTGATAAGGTTTGTAAGCAATAATTAAGAGGGAGGGAATTAAAAGTCTTTAGGGCGCAGATTGCTGCCTCTCATCTAATACCACCGATAGCAAAACTAGCTTCCGCAATAGAAACAACTCCGCAAAGACAAGTCGCAAGATGTCTTTTATACCAAATCTCCAAGGACGAAAAGCCAAGAAATCAACTTTCATACACTGATGCGTTTCCTCTCTTAGTGACCCAGGTTCTAAACGATCGCGGAGAGGTTCCACTGGAGCTGTCAGCTTTGCTGATCAATTGTGCACTGTCGCCGGCGAATGCTGAATTATTACTCAAACACAACAAAGGAAAAACGCTGAAGTCCTTGATTAAACGCGGGCTCAAAACCAAAGACGCATTAATTTTGAAAGTAAGACAACAATCCCAGACAATAAGTTCGCAGATTTGCCCGGTTTATTCAGGTCTAAAACTGTTTCTTCAGGCTATCCGAAATCTGTCTATTCATGAGACGGGCTGCAAAGAAGCCATGCTGCCGTATATTGGAAATATTGCGTCCAACTGTCAATCAACAGACGAGTCTTTTGCCATTGAATGTATCGGAACACTTGCTAACTTGAATCTGCCTAATATCGATTACAACCTGGTACTTCAAGAATACGATCTCGTTACATGGCTTAAAAATGCTCTGGGTAAGACCGTTTGTTGGCTCACATGCTCTTTTCTCACACCCCTTTTAGAGTAAATTTGATAATGGCTATTTGTGAAGAGGTTTCCATTCTAATCCGACCCTCTTCGGAAGTCTCTCCAATAATACTTCTTTAGATACGAACACTACTCTTCCGGACGATATTGTACTTGAAGCAGTTCTTTTGACTGGCACCGCCGCAATGGACGATCAATGCGCCAAGCTCTTAGGAAAAGAAAACTTTGTACAGATTCTGATAGATTTGTTGAAAGCCAAACAGGAAGACGACGAAATGGTCTGCCAGGTAAAGAGAGAACAGGTCGCCGACTTTATTTTTCGGAAATTTGATTGCATCATTTTGGATAGCGCATTTATGCGCTAGAGACGGAAAGCTAAAAATTGTCGCAGATGATGACGACAGAACTTCTCTTTCAATATATTTTAACCGCCATCAACGCTCTTTCAGATCGTCTATGTCTTCTACCAACTTGCCTTTCATCAAGTCACCCGGGACCAATTTCTGGCAACGACAGCGCCCGCATATCTTGTCGATCTTATGCATGATTCGAACGCGCAAGTTCGGTTAGTATCTTCTCATTTGTATGGAATTGAAGGTTTTTAGGGCTGTCTGCGACTCAACGCTTGATATCATTTCAGAATTCGACAAAGGATGGAGCGAAAAAGTCAGGGAACGGGTTTCAGACTTGAAATTTTAACAATTGTTTTCATGATTTTGCTCCTTCAGAGCATCAAATTTGTAGGAATGAATTTTATGAGGTCTGGCGATAAATTTATTCCTTTTATAAAAAGAGACTGTAACCAAAACGTAATTCCTATGGAACCCTCTGTCAGACTCGAAAAATTCCGGTGGCATAATTCGCAATGGCTGGAAATGATTGAGGGGCCACAAGAAGGAGCTCTAGCGTACGAAGAAGAAGAATATGGACATCCGGCAGATCTGCTTCTTTACGACAACGATGAGTATTTCATGGACGATGAAGATCAGCAAATGCCCCCGGACTTTTATCCTGATTTTAGACCCCAGTCGAGATGGTAAGCTCTTCTTTCGAGTTCTTCGCTTACGTTCTTGCCAATTAGGGAAAACTCTGCAGATCCAGGATGGTACAATGACGGAATGATGGCCCACGACTACCGATAAAATCAAATTCACCGACGAAGCCTTTTCTCGAAACTAAATTTTCTATTTTTCTACTTTCATAAATGTTGTCTTGTTTTTTAGAGCTCAAATAAAGGATAAAATCGAATTAAAAAACTTTCACCTGGAGTACTTTTCCTTTTGAGGGCCCAGATGAATCCTTTATTGCGCAAAACCACTCTAGTAGATTCGGGTCTGAAAGTTTTCAAGAGAACAGACGGTAAATCAATTCCCAGGGCAAACAGAGGACTGCGGTCGTGCGTTAGAGGAAAATCTCATTGGATTCTTCATGATTTATGAGGACGTCGACGCACACGTCGCTCTTGAACTCAAGGATTTCGTCGCGAACGTCAATAATTCTTTCATCACGAGGACTATATTAGTATCTCCAAAATTGTTTATCTGGGTTTTCTGGAATGAAAAAGGAAGAATCCTTCATCCCGAATTAAATCTTGTATCCTCTGTCAGAAGTTGATGTCGACGAAACTTCGTTGAAAAAATCTTTACAGCATATGTTCCGGTCTCAGAGCGAAAAGTCGTTCTGGAAAATTCCATGTTCTGCGAATTCTTCTCCAATTTGTATCATTTGATGATTATAAATTCTCATTTACGTCAATGTAAAATATCGTGCTAGCAAGAATTCTACAGAATTTTTACCAAAAGGTAAAAAAAAAGCCAGGAGAGCAGGAAGGATTAAACAGTCGGATAACCTGTGCAGAATCTTCCAACTGGCTCAAGCACAATCATAAAGGGATTTGACACGAGAAGACCAGTTTTTCTTGTGGCAATAACAATCACTTGTCGCGACGCTGGCTTTTCCTTTTATCCAAGGCACCTACTGGTTTATAATCACTTTGATTAATCGCTTCCCCGGCACACGCTAATTAATCTAATAAGCCACAGTAAAATTTGGTGATTGTCAGAGCTCTCAAAAGTCTGTGTTGCAATCGATGAGGTTTTATGGTCCTATTCGGAGAGCAATTTATAAGCCGGGTGTAAATCACTGCCACGATTTAGCCCTCTAGTAAATTAAAATCGTAACATCCAACGTCACCAGTGACGTTTCAGTTTTAGACAAATAGCGCCTATGCAAACTCGTAACCGGATGTTTAAATCAACGTCGTTTCTACAATAAGAGGAAACATCTATCAACTCTAAAGAACGACCTTCAGTTTAATATATTCAGCCTTGAAAAAGATATCGCTCGATACTGAAGTTCACAAATTGAGTTCAAATATTTGTGTGCTTGATCGAAAAAGTTCATGCGTTTCCGCTATAGCAACGCCTTGATGATCAGGCTTGATCCGTAGAAACTCGTAGAAGAGTGGGCTGAGCGCGCTTATTCTTGATGAATAGGCAAAGAAGTTATCGAGTCACTGGAATTCAATGAATGAGATCTGCTGGCGGGTTTGAACTTCAAGTTTCAAGGGCAGTTATCAAGGTCACATCCTACTCATCTCTTTCGCACGGTGGGGAATGTCTTAAGAAAATTCAACGGCACCGGCACGGCACGGCACACCAAAAATTCCTGTGCCGCGGGACGGCACGGCACGGCAAAAAAATTAAGAACGCGTGGCGGGACACGGCACAGCACGGCACGGCACAGTTTTTTCCTTTTTTTCTCGTAAAAAACACTCAAAACTAAATAAATATAATTTTATTTAATAAATTAGTCTGCAACGTAGGTATCGACCGAGAAATTTCGTGAAAAATTATTTTCGAAAAATTTTAAATTTTTTTTTTTTGAAATCTGAATAAATACCATAATTTGAATTAAAACCTGGATAAATTGTATTTTAACAGTTAATGGGGGTGGGTGGGGTTTGGGAAGTAACTGAAATTGATCACCTAAGAGTTCCCTGCCATTGTCAAGCCCCTTAAGGGTGTCCCCAACGATTTTTTTGAAACAGGATCAACTTTGAGTTAATAATTCTACTAATCGGATAGTTTCTTCATGAAAAATCTATTTGAATATTATTATATGGACGCTTCTTTCTGCATTAATCGAGACCGATTTTGTAGATTTTGATCCGTTAATCCCCTACCGCCGCTTCAAAGAAGTTCGATTTCTGTAATCTCGGGGAACTTTGAGATCGTTTTTCTCGAAATCTACTCGTTCAAATCTCAAATTTCGAAAAGAATAATGTTGCTTAAACACTTCTCTCTGCTTTAATCTTGACAGATTTTTTATAATTATATCAAATGCATATATAAATATACAATATATAAAATGATGATTTAAACAAAGTTTACACCAAATTTTAAGGCTCTTCTCGCTTGATTATTTTTCCGAATTTCAGTCTGAACATAGTTCGATCCTTCAACAAGGCTCCCATGAGCTCAGATTGTGCACCGATAAGTAGGTTAATCCCCTTTTCCGGCGCCAAAGAGCAGGTGTTTTCGAGTTTTGGCGCGCTCTTACAATAAGTAAAATTCATCGGATCTTTTTGAAAATGGTATCAGCAGAAAGGAAATCTTTCAAGCTTTCAGAAGATATATAATTTGCCATACTTAATTGAGAATTTCAAAATAGCCATTTTCACAGTGCATTTCTATCGAAGGCTAATGCATTATCGCGCTCATAGAAAAAGTCATATCTCGAGAAATAGATAAGATATTGAAGATCTGAAAAAAGGTTCGGAATCAGAATTTCCTAAATAACAAGAAAAATTTGAGTCACCGAGTTAGACAGTCTCGGCCTCGATCGTTGGGGACACCCTTAAATTTAAAAATCAAGGAACGGGGCTGAAACGGCCCGAAGGGCCGTCAAGCCCCTTAAATTTAAAAATCAAGGAACGGGGCTGAAACGGCCCGAAGGGCCGTCAAGCCCCTTAAATTTAAAAATCAAGGAACGGGGCTGAAACGGCCCGAAGGGCCGTCAAGCCCCTTAAATTTAAAAATCAAGGAACGGGGCTGAAACGGCCCGAAGGGCCGTCAAGCCCTTAAATTTAAAAATCAAGGAACGGGGCTGAAACGGCCCGAAGGGCCGTCAAGCCCCTTAAATTTAAAAATCAAGGAACGGGGCTGAAACGGCCCGAAGGGCCGTCAAGCCCCTTAAATTTAAAAATCAAGGAACGGGGCTGAAACGGCCCGAAGGGCCGTCAAGCCCCTTAAATTTAAAAATCAAGGAACGGGGCTGAAACGGCCCGAAGGGCCGTCAAGCCCCTTAAATTTAAAAATCAAGGAACGGGGCTGAAACGGCCCGAAGGGCCGTCAAGCCCCTTAAATTTAAAAATCAAGGAACGGGGCTGAAACGGCCCGAAGGGCCGTCAAGCCCCTTAAATTTAAAAATCAAGGAACGGGGCTGAAACGGCCCGAAGGGCCGTCAAGCCCCTTAAATTTAAAAATCAAGGAACGGGGCTGAAACGGCCCGAAGGGCCGTCAAGCCCCTTAAATTTAAAAATCAAGGAACGGGGCTGAAACGGCCCGAAGGGCCGTCAAGCCCCTTAAATTTAAAAATCAAGGAACGGGGCTGAAACGGCCCGAAGGGCCGTCAAGCCCCTTAAATTTAAAAATCAAGGAACGGGGCTGAAACGGCCCGAAGGGCCGTCAAGCCCCTTAAATTTAAAAATCAAGGAACGGGGCTGAAACGGCCCGAAGGGCCGTCAAGCCCCTTAAATTTAAAAATCAAGGAACGGGGCTGAAACGGCCCGAAGGGCCGTCAAGCCCCTTAAATTTAAAAATCAAGGAACGGGGCTGAAACGGCCCGAAGGGCCGTCAAGCCCTTAAATTTAAAAATCAAGGAACGGGGCTGAAACGGCCCGAAGGGCCGTCAAGCCCTTAAATTTAAAAATCAAGGAACGGGGCTGAAACGGCCCGAAGGGCCGTCAAGCCCCTTAAATTTAAAAATCAAGGAACGGGGCTGAAACGGCCCGAAGGGCCGTCAAGCCCCTTAAATTTAAAAATCAAGGAACGGGGCTGAAACGGCCCGAAGGGCCGTCAAGCCCCTTAAATTTAAAAATCAAGGAACGGGGCTGAAACGGCCCGAAGGGCCGTCAAGCCCCTTAAATTTAAAAATCAAGGAACGGGGCTGAAACGGCCCGAAGGGCCGTCAAGCCCCCTAAATTTAAAAATCAAGGAACGGGGCTGCGCCTCACCTTAACCCCAGTGCCGCGGCACCGTGCCGTGTCCAAACTGAAATTCACTGAATGGAGCGGCACGGCACGGCACGTGCCGTGCCGTGTCCGTGCCGCAGTGCCGTGCCGTGCCGTGCCGTAGACCTTTCCCCACCCTGCTCTTTCGTTCGGAAATCGAGCAAAAACGATCAATCGAATACGACCTTTAGTTCCCAAAGAACATTCGTCGTTGAACCACTCTACTCTTGTTGAGATCGATTTAAGGTTCATGCTGTGCATTGACGCAAATCATCACTCCAGATCCCAGCTAGCTGCTCCAAAAATACGATCGCAAAGAAAAGACGCAAACGATGAGCAGTTACAATAAAATATTTATCTTACTGCCCCTGGAATTGGATTGCTCGTGCGTCAAAGTCGGTCTTAATTTGTTTTAAATATTTTTCTAGCTTATTCCCGGAGAAATATGATAACTCATGTTCAGAGCAGATCTTCCATTTCTTAATGGCAATATTCTTTGAGCAATAAACTCTTCTGACAATTTTTCAGAAGCCATATTTTATGACGTTTTGAACAAGCGTCGCTTGTACACCTATCAATTTGTATCCATATTTATAGGCCTCGTTACCCCATGTCTGCTTATTACAATAAGCCACTGAGTGTGATTTTATAAACCCAGACAGGCTATTAATAACTTACATCGTAGTCTGACGTTGATAATTATACGTCACGAAATAAAAAATATACCATTCGCAAGTTTCATAGACGTTGAATTTTCTCACCTTTGGGGATAAGATGGTTCTTGCTACTCCCATCAGACACATTCCATTCGCATCGTGAAAGCATTCGTCATATATTTCTAGCGCCCGCGGGTGAGGCAGGCTAAGACGAATTTCAATAAGAAATTTTCGGGCAAAAAAATGACCCCCC